AGAAAGCCATTTTAAGACACATGTGTGCCATACGAAACCAATCAAATCATTTGAGTGGCTTTGTATGCCACATATTTCCAAGAGAATTTAATTCAAATTTTGACACACTAAGTAACATTACTTGCTTAAACAGCACGCATACATACTACTGGTTCTTTACTGCATACGCATCTTGTCTATGAGTTTTTACAGAAACTACTATGAAATGCATCAATCCCCTTTAAGGATAATACACCCCATTGACGTAATAATAAATAATATCCCTAACACAATCTTAATGCTGACAATAGCTATTTAATTTCACTTAACATTTTGGTCACATGATAACACACAGCTTTACTCATTTAATATCTGGAGATTAGAGACACCATATGATAGATTAAAAAAAACAAAACAGTCCAAGGCTCATCTTGGGCTAAGATGGACTGGATAATTAGGGTCTTTATCTGGGACAGCATAAAAATGCTTGGAGCAGATCTCTCGACCTTTACAGGCTGGGTCCAGTTTCAACAGTATGTTCATGTGGCATCACTGTGTCTACAGGCATCTGCTGTGGGTTCCCATGCCAAACCACAATGTCCACTGAAAAAAGAGAAGGGTGATCTAGACACTTACTCCCTCAAGGGGCTGATGCACGACCCTGATGATGCTACATGATCTTCTCCAGGATGTGTCAGCAATAAACAAAGATGTCATGGATCCCTCTGGGTGTCTAAAGCATTTTGTGACCCTCCTGCTTAACTTAGTCTAATAAAGTAATAGCAAAACTGGGTCTTTCTGCATTCGATGTTTCTGATACAGCAATGAGTTTAAAGTTGTGATGGTACAGGAATGGTATGAACCAAGTACAAATCCAAATATAGCAATTTTTGACATTTCATTCTTCCTGCCTCAAGTATCTTTCCAGCCTGACAGGAAAAACCTTTACCTGCAAAGCCACGATGGCGATATAGACAGTGATCGCTGGATCTGTCTGGGGTCCATCGAGAGCCTTCAGCTTGGGATATGAGGAGCTCGGGGTATTGAGAGCTGCCCATTCGGGGTATGTGGAGCTCGGGGTATTAAGAGCTGCCCACTCGGGAAATGGGGAGCTAGGGGTATCGAGAACTGCCCACTTGGGGTATGGGGAGCTCAGGGTATCGAGAGTTGCTGGCTCGGGCTACAGGGAGCTTGGGTAGCTCGGGGTATCAAGAGCCGGCCGTTTAGGGTATGGGGAGCTCAGGGTATCGAGAGCCACCCACTCGGGGTATGGGGAGCTCAGGGTATCGAGAGCCACCCACTCGGGGTATGGGGAGCTCAGGGTATCGAGAGCCACCCACTCGGGGTATGGGGAGCTCACCACTGGCAGTGTCAGGTGCTCAGGATATCGGCAGGATCGGCACTCACACCACAAAAGTCCGCTAACACTGACCACCCTATGAAGTCCATTTGATAATGAGTAAAATATTTAATAAATGCATTTTAATTAGGACTGCCACGTTTGGCCAGTTATTGAGCATCTCTGTAAAAGCCTCATTTTATAAGCTATTAAGCATAATTATCCATCAATTATCCACTATTATCACAAGAACAAGCATTTGTTATATATCCCTATAATTAATCCTACATATCATCTGCACATAGATTAACATTTTGTGATTCCTGGTTATATTATAGTGATTGTTGGTAATTATTCAATACATTTTATTTTTTTAATTGGAAAATTACATATTTAAATTTGATATTTTTTATATACTTGCTTGTATTGTTGTTCCAAATGCAGTATTTCATGCTTAATTTTATTTAAAGTGCAGGATTTTGGGGGTGGAGGGATGGAGACTTTCCCAGGTAACACAGGATACAAGGGGTTGAACAATGGATGGATGGAAGAATTCATCTAATTGAACCACTAGGCTTCACAAAACAGCGGCAGAGCTAGCAGGAGCTGAAGCAGAAATGCTTATGTCACATGGGTAATTTGTCATTGTTACACAACCTGATGTACGAGTTTCATCACCTCTTTTTAAGCCATAATATTAGGGTCAGACCCCGGTCATGCATGGACACACTCCCAAGACAGAAAGGCAGAGAATGGACCATCCCCCCCAGGCCTGCTTCACTAGCAAACTGTGTGCGCGTGTTTATTTCTGTGTGCATGTGAATCTGTGTTTTGTCTCCCTGTCCGTGTGTGTTTCTGCCTGTCTGTGCGTGTGTCTGCCTGACTGTGTGTGCCTCTGTCTGTCTGCTTGTCTGTGTGTGTTTTTGTGTCTGTCTATTTGTGTGTGTATCGATGTCTGCCTGTCTGTATATGTGTGTTTCTGTGTCTGCCTGTCTGATTATGTGTGTTTCTGTGTCTGCCTGTCTGTATATGTGTGTTTCTGTGTCTGCCTGTCTGTATATGTGTGTTTCTGTGTCTGCCTGTCTGTATATGTGTGTTTCCATGTCTGCCTGTCTGCATGCCTGTGTCTGTCTGTCTGTCTGTCTGTGTTTGTTTCTGTGTCTGCCTGTCTATTTGTGTATGGATGTTTGCCTGTCTGTGCGCCTATGTCTGCCTGTCTGCTTGTATGTGTGCGTTTCTGTGTTTATGTCTGCCTGTCTCTGTCTGCCTGTCTCTGTCTGCCTGTCTCTGTCTGCCTGTGTCTGCCTGTCTCTGTCTGCCTGTCTCTGTCTGCCTGTCTCTGTCTGCGTGTGTCTGTCTGTGTGCTCTGGTATGCGTACTTCTCTCCCTAACCATGTATAGGTGCCTTTGGGTAAAATGCCTCCCCATAAACCAACCTTGTGGAAACACCCCCTTGAAGTATAATGATCTTTTTCAAGTACCATGCATATGTGTGTGAGTGTGTGCATATCCAAATACACAGAAGAGCTTCGCCCAAAAGGGCTGACATCCCATTTCAATTCTATTCCTGCTTTCTTTGCAAGAACAAGCTAATAGAAACCTACAGTCTGGACAAAGGCAACATGCCATTTGTTAAAAGTGGACATGTTGCAGTTCCAAATGCACCTGTGAAAAAACCTTAGGTGTAAACTCTTATTTTACACAGTATTGCAAAATTCATATTTTAAATCAGTGGAATATTAACAAATATTCACAAAATAATTTAAATAGGTGCTAAAAATGTGCCAACCCTCTAAGTAATATAATATAAAGCTATACATACTGTACAAATGTAATGCTGACCGATTTACATTACCATATGCAAATTGTGCTTATCTGCGTTAAAAATATAACTGAGAAGTTTGGGCTGTAAATCCGAGCCCTTAGTCCAGTTAGCTCAGTAGTCTATCCGGGACAAAAGCATCCTGTATACTCGGCCTGGCTGCCGTCTATTGGCCGTCTATTCATCTATTGGGTCCATAATTCTGTGCGTAATTCACGTTAACATTACGCGTTAATCCCACAGACGTCTTATTCCGCCACCCTGCTAACCAGCGATTATCAGTGGTGAAAAAGGGAACTTGACCATGTTAAAAAAAAGACAAACTACGGCACAGGTTTTCCCTTTAATATCAACGTTAAAAGTTCCATCGGAAGAATAATACATAAACAATTAAAGCCACATGGCAGAATATAGGCCTATGCGATTTACCTCTTGGGAAATTTGATTTTACAGTCGAATTAGTGGCGTAATCATCAGGAATTTCCCGGCTATTCCATTCCAGATTGAATATTGATATTCTGATAGCAAGAAAAAAAATGATTATAATTACAACCAATATATACTCAGATATAGTCCAAGATTTTCTGAAAAAGAACGGGAATATTGCCTCAAAACTATTTTGATAAGCAAATTAAATGCGTAACATGAAACTGCCTGTGCATTGAATATGTGCAAATATTGAATAGAGTGAGATTAGTTTTGTTTTCATCCAATGATTCATTTTACACATCGTACGCAGAATTCTAACGTGGATCTACTTCTTCCGTATGGATTATCCCTATAACCCACATCAGTTAACTAGATTCAGTTATACATCGGATGAATTTAGGCCTATTTTAAGATGATTTTTACAATTGTAAATGATTTGAATTATTTTTCTTTTCTTAGACTCTGAAGTGACAATGGATTTGGGTACCCACTGAAAGTATCACTATATGTTACTAGAACTGTTTACTATGACAGTACTATATGTCTACTTAAACAGCATGAGTAACATGAAAGCCTTAAAATCATTAATAAAGAAAATGATTATAGGACAAGCGAACAGCAGGTAGATTAGATAGATAGATGATAGATAGATAGATAGATAGATAGATAGATAGATAGATAGATAGAATAATGTTGCATCTGTTCACCTTAATTTCTCACGAAGTTAAACCCAAGCTATATTTCCATCTCGTATAGTTGGCTAGAAATTAAAAAGGCTTTAAATTTTTTTCCCAGAGCTTAAGAATCACAGTAAAAAACAAGGGATAATATTCAGCGCACACGTGCTTTGTAAACTGGATGCTTTAGTGATATACTGTAGATTAACTGGGAGTTGAGTGGTAGCCTATGTAGTGCAATTCAATTCAAGTTTAAACACTGTGTGGGAAAACTGCGTTATTATATGACAAGGAAAAACGTAATTTCAAACTTTACCATGACAACTATGTGTTAAAACGGCACTTAAATTAAATAGCAGTGTGTCTGTGTTGCGTAATAAAAATGTGTCTAATAAAAGACCTTGAATATTACTGTACTTATTCAATTCCATTGACATTCGCTTGTTGAACGACATTAAATTGATTCGCTTTAGGACCCAGGAATTTGAGAAATACGGGGCAAGTCGATTTCACACCGCAAATGTGCCTCTTCTGAGGCTTTTGCTTTCAAAACACTCAAACTAAGATAAATAAGCGCATGATTCTTGCCATTAAAACTAACGTCAGTATTGAACATAATGAAAAAAATACATTTCAAGGCAGTAATAGAGAGGCATAAATGAACCCATCTTCGTCGTTTCACATCTTCAGCGGCAGTAAATATACCGTTACTGATTAAAACATGTTTGGGGGAAAATAAAAATGCATGACTCACTTTCGTGTTTGGAGGTTCCCCATGTGTGCCTCGGCACCCCGGGGCTCTTGATGATCGCTCTTCCGGCCGATTTAAGAGCATCCATGGTGGGATGGCCGCCAGGTGGGAAACGCGCCTCTGAATCGCCCGTCAAGTGTAAATGATGCGCCGTGCAGCGCAGCCGACGCTGGGGTGAAACACTCGCTATCTGCCCCTAATACGGTTCCCATAAAAAATGAGGTGCAGGAGTCAGCCTTAACCATTTCCTTTCGGAATGGGAGTGCCCGGCTCCGGGGGCACCAGCTCCTCCAATCAAATCCTGATCCGTGCCGTGACGTAACTTAATCATATAATGACGATTTTACGACAACAAAACATTTTAAAGTGAGTATAATGCAGACACTTGTTGTTAAGTGATACGTGAATTAAAATATCTGGCATAAGGAGATCTATAATCGCCCACCGTCTAGGGGGCAGTCAGAGACTTTTGACGTTTCTCCTAGTAGGCCTAATTAAATTCTATCACTACAACAATCACCATAACATATTACCCGACCTACATACTATTCCTCGCTACTATGGGTTCTAGATAATACATGATATTATATTTAAAGACCTTTTCATAGGATTCAATAGGTGGAATAATTAAGCTTTAGGAACGAAGACTTCTTTAAATAACTCAAAAATGAAAATCTGACTTGCTTAGTTTGTGCACAATGAATTGGAACACATATGAGACTATTACTCTAGATTCACACAAGTAGTTATTTTACTTATGAGTTGAAGTAGAAATGTTCCATTTATAAATATGACATTTTAATATATGAGTAACTTTTGAATATTCATGCTTTTTATTTTTTTCATTCAGCAAACTATATGATAGATGTGGCTCACTGGTTAACACTGTAGTCTCCTGGTTTTTCAGACTGAAATTTCTGTCTGTGTGTGATTATTGCATTTTCTCTCTGCATTTGTGTGGGTTTCCTCATGCAGCCTGAAATCATGTTTAGGTCAATTTTTTCCAAACCGGTCCTTGGGGACCCCAGACTGTCCACATTTCTGTTCCTTCTGTCTGGGGGTCCCCAAGGACCCAGTTGTGAAACACTGGTTTAGATGAATTGAGGTCCCTAGTGTATGATTATGTGCCCAATGGCGACTGGTAGCTCACCCATGCCTTGTATCCGTAATGCTTTCTGGGACAACCGCCACACTCACTGTAAGCATGGATAGGAGAAGCAGTTTGTAAATCAATAGATCCAATATAGTCAGTGGCGCTTTTTATCACCACTCAAAGCATGTGTTTGTGTGGGGTCTCCAAGGTTTGCGAGCTCCAGACTAATATTTAATAAATGTGTTCTTTATTTTGGAGATACTGAAGCAACATGCTCTGCTAACCAGCTAAGTAGCTACGATCCTCCAACTCTACTCACTACTTATTTATTTAGTTTTTGACACATCTGACGAGGGGTAAGGGGCCTAAGGTGACTTTTTGGGGCCCCAAAACAACAAACCTGCCCCTGAATGTAGCATACAAAACGACCTATCCAGTGTGAGTATCTGAGTGTTTGTAATTATTACACAAACAATTTGAAAAATGCCAAAAAGCATGTTAAAGACCAGGTTTCATTTAATTTACAGTCATACACAGAGTCATGTGTTTCAGTTATACTGAAAACTCTGGTCAATATGTAATAACATCTAAGTTTATGTTGATAATGTTGGTTCTTTAACATAACCTATCCATTTCATGCTATCTATAACTAGTATATAACATCAGTTTTATCCGTCTTCTAACTGCTTATTCTGAAAGCTAATTCTCTATTTCTATTACACTTACTAATTAAGTTCTTGAGTTCAGTCTAGGTTTGTTATTGGTGCTTAATCATATGTGTAGTCACAATCATTTTATGATGAGTATTGGCTCTCCATGCATACACAATCACACAGCCTGGCTGCTACCGCAGGAAATCAATAAACTCGATGTTTTACAGAGTACAGACTCATGGGGAAGAAGGGGCCACTCAAAGCTCAGTGCTGCAGTGTGTTATTCTGCATGTCATTCACTTCACTCAGGTTTTGTGCGAAGAGTTTGACTCTTAGGTGTTTTAAGGCCAGTGACCGGGGATGTAAGATCAGCTTGATTTCAAATAAAAACACGATAGCATTCTTCATGATGGTCAGAAATATATTTATGCTCTTTTAAATTATTACATTTAGACACATGGTCAAGTTCCCTTTGGTGTGAATTTCCTTCTGAACGCCAGGTAATATGGTGGTTAAGGAGATGGGCATGTAAACTGAAGATTTCTAGAAGGGCCATTGGTAGAATATTTCTGCCAGATATATAAAGAACAAATTTGCAATGAACAGGCATCCTGCCCAAGGTGTCCCCCTGCCTTGTGCCCTGTGCTTCCTGGGATCGGCTCTCTGTGACCCTGTGCTGGATCAGTGGTTTGAAGATGGATGGACTGATATGCATCAGCTGGTAGAACCGCAAGCCACTCTGAATAAAAACATCAATTGACCAAAGAAACAAAGCAGTAATACCAGTTCAGGAAAGTCAGGGACTCTCTGTGTTGTCAATGTGCATTTAAGGGGGGACTGACATCCTATCCAGGGCCTGAACTTCAACAGACAGGCTCAGAATCTCAGGCATGAAGCATCTGCTCATTACAACAGTGTACACTGTAAGAAATCAGCTTAAAATGGTGAAATGAAACATAAACAAGGTTATCAGTTTTCATAGTTAACATGGTAAGGCTAAACTAGCAATAGATTTTTGTGGACACAAGACAATCCAAAGGAAGTACATTCATCTGGCGATTTGTGGAAAAATAAAAATATAACAGGAAAATTATCTTTTAATTTCATCAATTTGTCTTCAAGGTCCAGCTGAAGAAAGAATACACCGGATAGCAGCTACAACTAGCGAAATGAAATGTTTTAATAAATAATAACGTGTCTAGAAAATCTATGAGGATACAATACAGATTTGGCTTGGCTGATTACTTGTTCTCCTGGGCACGTAACAGGTGCGAACCATAACGGAGGATTTATACACTAGCGCCATCTGTAGGCACAGTGCAAATATTACAGGTGAATTGGAGGAGAATTTTGAGAATTGGTTTTGGTCTAGCAGGCACTGCACTCAATGTGTGGCTTAGGGAGTTAGAATGTTATGCCTGTGATCAAAACATTGCTGGTTCAAATTCTTCTTCTGATTGGCAGGGTGATTTAACCGTAGGGCCCTTAACCCCCAGCTGCACCAGGGACAGGCTGAACCTGAAGCACAAAAATGCACATCACTTCCCAATGTTTCTTTGTGTTTAGATTACATTTTTAATGTAATGCTTTATGGGGATTTATTTTACACTTACAATGCATTCAAAATGTTAAACCAAGTTAAATTAAAGTATTGCCAAGATGGCATATTTAAACCTTTAAAACATTCATTCCCCTAAACTCCAGAACAATGGGAGAGAATCAGAAAGTGAAACAGTTTATGTACAGAGCACTGTGGGTAGTCTAGGTCGGGCTTGCTGTAGATTGCTCCGCCTACACTGCTCCCATTGGCAGTGGCTCCGCCTCCAAATGAAGACCTATTTGCATAAACTGAGCTCTTGCCAAGCCTTGGAACACCAGTGACAGGTCATCAGGGGACCCCCCCCCCATCATCACTAAGTGTCAGCAATGGATGCAGTACACCTCAGTAAGTCAGAGCTGCTTTGTATTCGTGTGGCAGACACATATTTTTCACAGTCCTTTCATTGTCCCTTGTTTTTAGATTAAGATAAAAATTGTTATTAAGCAAACACTAAATGAGACAAAATACCAGAAGGAATAGTAATTGAAAGGAAAAAAGCTATGAATCATAGAAGTATTCAGCAAAGGTCTTGCTCTTGTCTCTGGTTTCCTTTTCTCCTTGTTATTCTGTCATAATGCAGATTTTTATGTACTTCCTGTGTATCCTGTTGTCTCGATGCCCTTACTGACTGCTGCATGCTGAGGGAGAAGCTCTCAGTCTGCCCCCGCCCTTCAAAATCGCTCTTTTACCCTAGCTGACCCTCACTCCCCCTCATTCATCCTCTCACATCCTCCCTCGCCACAGCCAGGGTGTGTTGGGCTGAAGCTTGGTGGGGCCCTTGCGGCCATGGGGACGTGCTGGGGGGGGGGGGGGGGCGGCGGCCAGGGGTAGGGGTCGGCGTTTAGTCGGCCTCGGGGCCTGAGAGGCACTCGTGGATGGCCGGGCCGCCGACGCACAGCTGCTCTCGTGAGCACGCCAGCGACTCCGCCGATGGGCTGCGGCTGGATGAGATGCTGTTGAAGCCGGCCGCATGGGGGTGCGTCTCGATCTCCACCTGGACCTCGATGTTGGTTCCCTCCCTGCAGAAATCCACAGCAATGACTGCAATACCGCTCCGGAACAGCAGGAGGCGCAACAGCAGAAACTATACAACCATTCACTACGATACATCAAAAAGAGTTAAACCTTCAGATATTTGTAGGGCATCTGCGATTGTACCTTTAGATATCTACTTGTGCTTCGTTCATCTAAATGAATTGTCCAGTGAAAAAAGGGAATAGGAGAGCAGTTAACGTAGTGTGCTGTCTGCTAAGCAAAGAGCATGAAACACGGCTTGTGAGATATACCGAAGAGATGTGTTCCCTGTTTCATGGCTCATATCGGTTTCCATGGCCACAGTGCAGGTGGACCCGTCTCGCTCTCCACCTCCTTCGAGGTCAGGCGGGCTGCTGCTGGTGCTGGGGAGCAGGTCCAGAACACGTCCACTGGCATCTCTGGCTGCCTGACTCGCCTGACCAGTCCAGTGTTCACCAACTGCGTGAGAGAATATCAGAATATCAGATCACAACCTCACAAAAAGAAATGCAGCCTGCCTACTATATTATTTATCATTATTAAAAGGTCGTTCTAAGAAAAGGCAAAGGCCTCTCTACGTGCTATTTGCTCCGGTCATTAACAGACAACCTCAGAGAAAAAACTGAAACAATTTCCCTCCTGTAAACCCATCAAGAGGTTCAGTGATCTACACTCTCATCCACCATGGGCTGCCCTTTTTGGATTCAAGGCATTTGGTGCAGATTTAACACATATGGTAAAGAAAAATAGCAAAGAAGACCCCCTGTGGATTTAAAGGTACGGAATACTCTGAGAATAGCTGCACCAGAGACCTCCTCATTCAGTCTTTTGTTTTTTACAGAACATGATCTATCCAGTTTTCTGCAGGTGGTCCTAAAAGAGTATGATTTATCCTTCAGACAGCAAATTAACTATTTTTTCCTTTTTCCTGGGCTAAAACACAAGGAGTGGCTATTCTTGTTTAGTTGCCAAAAGCCCAGGAACATGGGTATGAAAAACCAGTACAATGTTGTTGTACTTGAAGAAAACATCTCCACACAATGCACAGAGATGTGGAGATCCTCTGATCTCAGATCAGCCTTTCCAGGACTGCAAGAAGGGGAAGACTTACAGTTGAGTAGATCCTCTGGCTGTATCTTGTGTGGTTCAGCTTGCTCCTTCTGGTTCCTGCACCAGCCGTTTCGGCAGAGGGACATGGGAACCACACCGTACACGTATGTCATCATCAACGGAACGCCCACGCCTGCAACCGAGCATGAGGGTTCACGGGCATGTCATGGACAGCGCCCCCTACAGAGCTAAAGCGGAGGTTTTTATGCAAGACTACAGGATAGGACAGCTCCAGCTTGGAGACTAGGTGACCTTTAACTCTTATTTTGAATCCTTACCAGCATAAGACATTGAGAGCATCTTATTTTGCTAATTCATTCTTGAACATCAAAAAAAAAAATTCAGAAGGGAAATCACAGTGTCTCCATTCAAGGGGAGGGGGAATCCAATAATGTCACAAGGCAAATAGACGGAGACTTGCAGAGGGGCAATATCTCCAAAGCTGGATCCATATGAGTGCTTTTCTGCAGAAATGGGGGGGGGGTTCATGCGCAATTGCGGGGGATGCCGCACGTGCCGCACTGCGTTTGATGAACGCGTAAGAGCCTGGCCTCCTTCCAAGATGAAGGGCAGCAGGGGGACAAGCACTGAGCCATGGAACTGGGCTCTGGCCACCTAGTGGACAAGATTGGCTCTGCTATCCTAATCAATGTGTGGTTCGCCTTGATTTTTATAGCATGGAAAAGAAAAGAAGCAGGAATAAAGGATCCTCACACAGCAATGTGATACATTTTCTGTTTCATATTTCACAGAGTAGACGTGCTAGAAAAAGATACAAAACAAAACAAATATAAAAATATAAAAACAAAATAAAAAGATAATGGCAACTAGCATAGCAGTTCTTAACTGCAAACAATATTCAAATAAAATGTTTCTTGTGCATTGACTGTAATTCAAAAGACGTTTTAACGTACCAAGAGTGACAGCAGCTATAACAGGGGAGACAAAGACGGACATCATGACCCCGCTGGCTACTGTCAGATAGTGTTTACTTCCTGAGATATTGTTTTTCTTGCATCGACTGTGGACCTAAAACCAAAAATAAACATGCAGGCATGGACAATCACATTCCCCTGCTCCTGGTGATATATTACAAAATCTAAAATACAAAAGCAATCCTGACAAACTAATAAAAGAGTTGCTATTTCTATAATAATAATACATAAAGTTGATTTTTAGAAGGTACTGTAGATACTCCGGAATAATGTTTCTCATCTCGGTCCCTGAGGACCACCAGACAGCCCTCGTATTCTCTGGGGGCTGGGAAGCAACAAAAACGTCGATCGTGTAGAGGTGCCTGGGGACAGGGTTGGGAAGCACTGGTCTAGCTCTTTTGCTATGAAAATCATGTTTAGCGTGATTTTGTTTGACCACAACTGACCTTATGTGCCGTACGGAGCCAAAGGTACGGATAATGCATCGCGTTTTACCAGCACATTTCCCCGCTACTCAATGGAGGTATGATGGGAGGCTTAAGTGGGGCGTGCATTTGTTATATGTCCTTTAAGTAAGGAAGTAATGTCCTTAGCATATGTATGTATGAGTATATGAATAAGGAAGGACATTAAAATCTCACTAACCACTACTAACTACAATACTACTATAGTTACTAATTGTAGTACTCATACTAATAGTAATATTTATTATAATAATAATAATAATAATAATAGTTCCTAGGTGCTGGAGCCAGACCTAAATGTGGGGGAGGGGGATTACCTTACGTCCCATGTAGATGGGAATCCCGATGATAATGACTGGGATGGCGATGCCAGCGATGAGGGAGATAACCACAGGGGCCCCCAGCAGCATTCCCACTTGCCACACCACTTTCCGGGTCTGGGACCAGGGCTTCTTCCCCCAGAAGGTGCAGCCTGAGGGACTGAGGAGACACAGCGACAGGCTGCATGTGAGACAGGCACCGGGCACCAGCCCTGTTAGCAGAAACAGACACCTTTGTGCACCTCTAACATCCCCGGATATCTCATGATACCCCACTCAGCCAAGGCTGCACCCCTCACGGTCCTCATGGCATCTGAAATACTGCAAATGCACAAACAATCAGCATCAGCAAAGCATTGTGGGTATGACTATGTCCCTCTACCCCGTGCCTCCGTTTGTTTCGCATGATTACTTCCCCCACCAGGGTCCCCATTATCTCCTTCCCTCACAGCGGCCCATGTCACCTGACGGGTTGACCGGCCCTGCAGACAGAGGAGCTGCGACAGGTGCACCGATGCCCCACTGAGGTCCAACGCCTGAAGCTGCGATACGATGTTCCTCGTTAGTGACGTCCGTCACACCTAAATGTCACTGCCAGTTCAGCGAAATGCATCACCCTGGATGCCATGTTTGCGTGTCCGGTTATTTCTGGGGGGACTAAGATTTTCAGACGTTCAGCCCTTCAATGGAGGGGAACATCTGCACTAAATAAATACCGGCTTAAAAAAAAACGAACATCTATCCATCCATTTTTCATAATTGCTTACCTCAGTGACAGTGACCCTGGAGCCATTTAACCACAGAAGCATGACTAGAAATGCTGGGCCTGCTGACAAAATGTCACCTTCAGTGCCAAGTGTGTGTGTGTGTGTGTGGACGGGGGGGGATGCTACTAGTATATTTGGGGGCCCCTGAATCTCCCCAGGGACTCATGCCCCTCCAATGCCCCTGGGAACCTAAAAAATGTGGAACATAATTGGAATGGTTTGGGTTGGGGGCCCAAAACTATACCGGCGCCCCTGGTTCAGGCCAAGAACCAAAGCCACCCCCGGAGGTGTGAAACTGCAGCGGGATCGTGGCGAAGCACTATAAGACCTGCTTGGGATCACAAACCGCCCCAGAATAACGTTTGGTGGGAAATTCCGAGAGTGACCGGGACAGCATAAGGAAAAAGAACCTTAGCTTGTCCCGGTCGTCTGAGCCCGTCTGTTTATGATTCCGGGTGCTCATCCCTGATCTGTAGACTTGTTTGTGAATATGAACTTTTGAGAGGAAATAAGCAAGGCGCATCTGAGCAACTCCATTAACATGTAAAATCACGTTTCAAGGTGCACCAGCCCGAGGGGGGGTCACACCTCGCAGAGTGGGACACACCTTTCCTCTATGAGGTCCTCCACACACACATCGATGAACAGTCAGTATGTGCCAAGCACTTTCCACCTGGCAGCGTGCCCAGACCAAGGTGCCCCCCGCTCTGGGGCTAAGTGTTTCTGCTCAATATGTCTGAGTGGCAAAAGGGCGGGGGGGTGCCTAAGCGGCCGGGGGTGCGGTGAGCAGTGTACGCTAAATTGATTAGAATTAATTTCTGGCTCTCGTACAGCCACGGAAATATCAGCGCCGGCGTGACCTTTACGCATTTATTCCAGAAGTGCAGGGACGTCGGGTACAATTTCACACTCGGCAGCGCAGAAACCAGCGGCTCGCTTGGCTGCCCGTCTCTGCACATGCTAGGGGGTGCATGCAGAGGTTACTGCCAGAGGTGGAAAGTCCGGGTGCAAAAAGTACAAATCCAGACCAAGGTTTTGTTTCAACCAACCAGTTGAGTCACAGAGTTCTCAGCTGGTTGGTTGAAACAAAATTTTGGTCTGGATTTGTACTTTTTGGACCTGAACTTTCCACCTCCGGTTCTGCACACATTTGTTAATTTATAGCTCCCTTAATAACTTTATACATGTGAAAAGAGAATCCAGACCCAGAAAATATGTATCAGAACTAAAATGACAGATCCAGAATGTACGCTTTTGGTTGTCACGTGTTATAGGTGAAATCCTTAATCATGACCTTGCCTATACAACACACACAGTCTCATTTTAATAGGAGGCTTTCCCTCCCAGATAAAATCCATAGTTTTATCTTCCTAAACCACCCCCTACAAGGTCATAGTGAGTCTTTTCCAGGAAGTCAAGGGTACAGGGCAGAGAACTGTGACTCAAACTCGCATCCTTGGAGGTGTGAGGCCACAGGATTCACTGCTAGGCCACTGCACCAACCCTCAACTAAAATAGAACCTGATAAACTTAAGACCTGTAACTGAGTAAAATACACGTAGAGATAACAGTCCTGTTACAGGATTAGAGGGACCCAAATAAACCCCCCCCACCCCCCCCCATCCCTGGGGGGACGGGGGGCACATGTGACAGGTTAGGAGAGTCGAGCTATACCTGAGGTAGTGCACGTCAGTGATCTCCTGCATGCACAGCCAGCAGAACTGGCAGGCGCAGACACTGCAGTTCATGCGGTTACAGCTGCCGTCGTTGGTCTTCATGATGTAGGCGCCACAGCGGGGGCATGCCTTGATTTCCTCCACATCTGCAAAGAACCACACACAGCGCGCTGTGTTAAAATGACTGCGGCCACTAGGGGGCAGTGCCTGAGACTGAGCACAGGTGCCTGCCGCAGTGGGTTGCCAGGCACTGGTGCTGATTCTCTACACGACAACAGACAGAAAACAGCAGAAAACTAACAAGACAGTTTCCCTTAATGATTAACAAAAGGTTTTCGAAAAAATAAGGTGATATTGTGACAAAATAATGCTAACATTAATATCACTGCTAATGTGAAACTTGTTTTGCAACTAAATGAAAATAATATAACAAATATATACTTAACAGCTAACTGTGGGTAAGAAACCACTTTCTAAGGGGCTAAAAGGTGTGACAACAGTTGTCATGCTCTTTCTGAAAGATAAGAGAGAGAGGGAGAGGTTATCCTAGGAAACTTTTTTGGGAGGCCCTGTGTGACAGGGACCTGTTTGGAGGTCGTACCGCCACATGGCTCCTCATTAAAGACGAACAGAGTGGAAGCATCGTTGTTGCTGGAGGCGTGACGGGAGCGCTGGCGCCGGGCCTGGTCGCAAGTCTGGTCTGGGTGCCACAGCTGCCGACAGTGGTAGCAGAACTCGGTGTCGCAGCCTTCCCGACCACAGCGAAGCCTGGGGCATTCGGCACAGCCATAGGCGATCACCGCATAGCTGAGGGCGAGGCGTGGGAAGGCCTGGTCAGCAGACAGCAAGCTCGTAGCATTGCTAGCATGAAACATGCTAGCCTCTACCAAAGCAGAGATTTACAGCTAGCGAATTTATCTTATTGTACACCAAACTTCCTGGTCACAGACAATGGACCATAATAATATAAGAAACCTGCTCAATATTTAATGATGATTCTAAAATGTCTAGCTATCTGGCATCTCGGGCCTTGAAAGATGTATGAATAAAATTCAGCAGCAAGGCAGGACAGCACTGCCGGCAATTTACCTCCACTATTTTCTAATAACTAAACTCCCATCGATGAAAGTCGACATCGAATTTGTGCACAGTTGTGAAGCAAGAGATGACAGAAGAGCAGCCTTGCTGCACAGACACGCGATCCCACTGCGTTGACAGGAAAACGACAATCTCCGCTTTCACGCAGAAACAGAATCTAACTAATGTCGCCACCAGACACCGGCACGGAAATACGACCCCGAGAGGCCCGGGGGAGCACAAGGCACCATTGTGTTTGCCACCGGACAGTCAAGACCAGTGAGAGCATAAAGATGCAGGATAGTGCCAGAGATCGCCTGAATATCCTCGCTGAAAGATAGAGCTGAGTTTATAGCTATATACTGTATGCTCTGACTGCAAGCATTAATGCTTCACAGGGATGGAATTTGAGTTGCAGTTCAGACAGAGCAGATATCAACCTCGATGTTGGAATTCCGTCAGGGATAACCCAGGCTGTCTCTCCTGATGGACTAACCTGCAATCTGGCGCGGGACACCAGCGTGTGTCGGGATCAGCGGCCAGGAAACGACGGAGCTGGTAGTCCTGGAATCGCTCCAGCAGGGCAGGGTCGTCCAGGATGGCGTGGATGTCGGGCGGCGCCAGCAGCTCGGGGCACTGTGGGCAGGCCACACGCACGCGGCTCTCGGAGATCTCTACACGCAGGTACTGGCGCAGGCAGTCCAGGCAGCAGCGGTGAGGGCAGGCCGAAAGGCGCGGGAAGCGGCCACGAGGCTGGACGAGAAGGCACAGCGGACACTCCAGGCAGTCCAGGGGCTGCTCCTGGCTGGAGGTGGAAGAGGAGAGGACCCTCATTGAACTGCCGTCGCCTTCGCCGTTGCTCTGCTCCGGGCCCTCCTCTTCCTCACCTCCCGCCGCGACTGCCTCTCCTCCTTCGGCATCGCCCCGCTCCTGAGGGAGAGTTCACAACCGGCTTCACCATCTGCGCTGTCCCTCCATCCAGCTGGCAAGGGTGCCTCTCCACAGTACGGTGGGGTCACGGGTACATCTTGAGGGCAGGACTGATTTCAAGCTATGGCATTAATGACCTCATTTAGGTCATTGGGCAAATGCTTGAGTTAATAAAACAAAGAGCCACCCAAACTATTGGGTCATCTCTATTCCTATTCATTCCTATCTCATTTTGGGCACATTATGAAAAGACCAAATATACTGGAAGAGATGGTAATGCTCAGAAAATGTGAATAATGAGGAAGAGAACAACCAGAGGTAGAACCGTTCAGGTACAAAAGAACAAATCCAGACCAAGATTTTTTTTTCAACCGACCAGTTGAGTACTCTGTGAATGTGTCTCTTTATACTCTGGACCTGAACTTGTTATCTTTGAGAAAAACCATCAACAAGTAAGACAGATGGACTCAATTAGCAAAACAATGAATATGCCAGAGAGAAACCTGTTGATGCGGACAGAAAACAGAACATTTCTCAGGAAGGTGGTTTTTATGATCACCGGGAGCTGACATCAACTTGACAGCAAATACTAATCCATCCATCTCTCAAACACTATTCTGGTCAGAATTGGGGAGGGGTCTATCTCAGACAACATGAGGCACAAATCAGGGGTACACCCTGGGTGGGAGGCCAGCCCTTCACAGGGCGCACACTAACGCCAAACAGCGTCCCACAGGAGGAACAGGAAGCAGAGGAAGAGTTCCCCCCCCAATTCTGAAACTGCGATGCAACATTGCTCCTCAATGAGCCACCACGCCTCCCCTAAACAATCAAGGTCATCTTTAATGACTGCAAAGTTCAGGGTGTAGCTCCCAGTCCATTCATTTCTATATAATGTGCTGATCAACTATCTACACACCGTTTCTTCATAGCCTCCAAGTTCATTTGGGAGAAGCAGGAATCGCGTGAGCCACACGGTCACCCACAACTAGTTAGTTATATGTGGAAGGTACTGCTTACGTGTTCTATCACTTGGCAATAAGTATGAAGAGATGCTAAAAACTATTTCAATAAACACAAGCTCCGTGAAAGGCAACTTAAATCAAACACATCCCATACTGTTTTACAGAAGGTAAAAGTAATATGTAAAAGGAATTTTCATCAAAAAAGGGGTGACATGCGTACGTAAACTCCAGCTTCATCTAAGTCCTATTCAATTTTATGGCAGCTATCACACACCATCCAGACAACAAAGCCACAAGCAAGTGAACAAACTCTCCATCTACTCACTCACAAATCGCCATGCTAGGCTACCACAGTTCATCTGGCTTATTGTCAGGCTGGAGTGACTGCTGCAGTCTGTAATCAGTCTGGGTCACCCCTGCTGAGACATGCAGGAATGTCAGGGGTGCCAATCGAATCACAGTCACCTCCCCAAAATGCAAGAGTGCTTGGCCGTCGCTAACAAGGGTTTCAGGCTTCAGAATATTACCCAGTTTTAACTAGACGAAGGAGTCAGATGAACCTCCAGACGAAAACATACAGATGAATCCTCCAGACAAAAACATACAGATGACATCTACAAACAAAACATATAGGTGAAATCTCCAGACAAAAACATACAGATGAAAACTCCAGACAAAAACTTACAGATGGAATCTCTAGACAAAAATATATAGGCAAAACCTCCAGACAAAAACACACAGATGAAATCAACAGACAAGACATATCGGTGAATCCTCTAGACGAAAACATACAGGCTAAACAGCCAAATGAAACAGTCAGCCAAAGAGTCTGCCAAAATAAGACCAAATCAATGCCTAAGAGATTATCGGGGGGGGGGGGGGGTTGGGGGGGTTACCATTTAAGTACAACTCAATTCATACCCAGCATAACTAAGGACATGTGTGGGAGCTGTGATATGTGGATTGTGCTCTACCTGCTCCGTGCCCTCGCTGGGCGTCAGCGTAATTGCGATTTCCTCCCGGCCGTCTGCGGCTCCAGCATCCTCGGCCCGGGCCTCGGCCTGCGCCTTGCGTCCGAAGAAGCGCAGGAAGCTGAAGTGCTGTCGCTGCTTGGGTCTCTTCATGGTCCCGCAGAGAGACCGCTGAACCGGACGGGCCCCCAGGCGACGGGAGGCGGGAGGAGACGGATTGTTCCCAGAAGGTGGAGTGGGGGTAGGTGTGGTCTGTTCCAAGAGGAGCTCACAGGTCGCGGGCCATGTGACGGGTAAAGGGGCATTCAGCACGTGGGCAGGCCCGGCCGGGGGACATGGCAGAGCGGGACTCCTTGGCTGGCTCTGTGTGTCAGTACGTGCTCAGCGAGAGGACACTTCATCACACATTCCTCTCCCGCCACCCTGCAAACAAACAAACCCCATCGCCTTTGGTCACGATTTACATACAAACAGAGCACTAATATCAAGAAATACGTCAGCCTAAAGGACATGTGTGACTGTTCTTTTATAGTCTGCCGCATGGCAATGGAAAAGTAGTAAACAACTCAATAATGCAGCATACAATTGGCTGACATGTTTCCTAGTTTAAAGAAAAACTGGACCATGCTGTCACACATTACTGTAGCTATTTACTGGGGCAATAAGACAGAACACATGCACTTTACTAACTTTACTAACTCCAGAGGAGTCAGATGCTAAAGTAGGTGGTCACCTGGCAGGTAGATTTAAAGCTGGGTACTGATCTCTGAACAGGAAGAGTAATAGACAAGGGCCAGTGTGCCAGTGTTACTGTGTAGCAGCATGTCTCAAAAAAGTCACACATTTTACTCTCAGAGCACATGCCATGCACGCATTTCCAGCTTTAAATAAGATATGCAAATGAACCGTCTTCTTATACTGCTCCAGAAGCACATACATGCAGTCATGTACTCGGAAAAGATAATTATTGTAAAACAATTGTAAAATCGTGATGTTACGTCAAAATGTGTTAACTTCAGCATTGCATCTTGGAAAGTCAACCCAGTGTTTGCAGGAGCGAATCCAATATACTCGTGTATTTGTTGCCTTGACCGCCAGCATAACATATTAGGCGAATCAGTCCCTCGTCAAATTGTTTAACTAATCCAGTTCATTAAGAGAGCTAGTGGTGACATTTAACAAATACGCGGAATGGCTGGGGTCCCCCAGAGGAGAGGTTTGGGAACTGAAGCGCTGTTCATCTATCCATCAAAAAAGCTTCACTTTTCTGAAAACTTTTGGAGAACCGAAGAAATAATATTTTTTATTGTGTTACTTTTCATTTGCAAATATTCTAATGTTAAAATCTGTTTTCTTTCTAAGCAAATTTGCACATACCACCCAAACATATAGCTTTAAACATTTTCTTTGACAAGACCTTTGCACAGTACTGTATATTTACTGCACTGTAAGTTTACTGTAATCAATACTAGTCATGTCACTTCACCACCGCTGCAGCCCAGGCTGAGTAACGCACAGCTGACAAACCCCACTGTGGGTTCTCACCCCTGCTAATTGGGAGCTTGAGCAGGTCGTGATGACAGCAGCCTATTCCAGCCTGGCCGTGACATTGACTCTTTCAGCCACAGATAAGCCACCCAACCCTAGATTAATGGAGGTGTGCCCTTGGTTTGCAGTGTAAAGACCACAGAGGTATATCAGCACTCTGAGGCTAACTTTAGCCGTTTTAACGAGGCTGAAGGCGGGGTGAAGAATATGCTCCGCCCTCAATTTCCCTGTGGATGCCATATGCCACTGACTGCAATACACCTTTGTTTAATTGCCTCTCAAGCCTTTTCCACTGGTCAGTACTTATGTCCTACACATACAGTCTAACAATTACTGTTTTCTCCACAGAAATGAACCAAAGGGCAGCACAAATAATGGAATATGAAAGCAGCTCTGGGCCTTTTCTTCACCCCCTGAAGTCCTTGTAAGCTCCGTTGTACTCCTTGGCTGTCTATTAGCTCCTCCTTCTCTGCTCATTTGTTTTGAAGTTCCTTTATTCCTCCTTTCTCTCCTCATTTCTCCTCCCCTCTTCCTGTCCCTCTTTTACCTCCTCTCTTTATCTTCCTGGCTCCTTTATTTCTCATACCTCCTCATGTCTTCTCCTCCTGTCCTCTTTCAGCTCCTCCTTGTCTATTAACATGACTCCTTTATCCCTCCTATCTCTCCTCATGTCCTCTCAACTCTTGCTGTCCCTCTTTTAGCTCCTCTCTGTATATCTCCCCTACTCCTTTATTCTTCCTTTCTCTCCCTACATTTCCTCTCTTCTTCCTGTCCCTCTCTCAGCTCCTCTCTTTGTATCTCCCAAACTCTTTTACTCCTCCTCTCTCTCCTCAGGTCTTAGCTCCTCCTGGACTTCTCTGAGCTCCCATCCCCTGAGAACTTCCTCCCAAACAGGCCCAACCAACCAGTCTGACTGATGGGATTTTGTTTATTTACAGTTTTCCCATAAATTTATACAGAAAAACTCCAACAACCTGCATGTTCAAAGAGCTGCAGCTTTCCCTACACATGGCTACTGTGAACTGATGCACAAATCTGAAAAGAAAAGGAGACGTTAAATGTTCATCAGAACAGTGACAGCAAACAGTGATGTTAATGCCACCATCCATAAATGGCAAGACTTCAGGTCTCATGTTACCACAGCATCTCGCCACTCCACCATCAACTTCTCCTTCAAACATTCCGATGCCCACTGTGGGTGGCAGCTTTGGCATCAACATGAGGATCATGATTATAACCTTTTAACAAACAATGTAGAGTAGGGTGAGAACGTTTTAGGAAATGTACAAGGATGGCTTTTCCATCCTACAGACCTCAATGCCACGTTTAAAAATCTTCATTCTGGGCTCATTTCAGAAGCAAACATCTGTGCTATTTAAATTTATAATGAATGTATCACATTTCGAAACGTGCAGTCTCAGAATATTGCTTCTTTGTGTGATGAGTAAATATTGATGTTGGCAACAATTTCAAGTAGCTTGAGCTATTCATACTATTCATATTCATTTATATTTCTTTTACTTTTTTGCAAAATGAAGCAGGACACAGAAGTGGAATTGGGAACTAAAACAAAATTATAGCCTGTGGTGGAGCAGGGAAGCTATAAAATGATTGGCTCTTCGTTCGTAAGCTATAAAATGAATGGCTCTTCTTTCATAAGCTATAAAATGATTGGCTCTTCTATCATAAGCTATAAAATGATTGGATCTTCTTTTATAAGCTGCACAATGTGGTCCAAGTGCATTGGCTGCGTCACCAACAATCAGTGTCACAGTCCATATGGTTCATGTCGGGATTGTGGGAAAACTGCATGGGAAAAAAAAACATACAAAAATCACAAAGGAGTCGGATCCATAGGCCAGTAATTCATTAATTTTCCAGAGCTGCTTATCCGGTATGTGGATAATATATCACAGCACACCTGTGGATTTTGAGCCAATTCATTATAGGTCACTGGTACATAGAGAAATTCAGAAATACCACTTGAGCCCTCTGACCCTTAAAAAAAATCACCCAGAGGCAAGCCACAGGGAAAAAGAGAGAACAAACTCCACAGGAATCGAGCTCAAAACCCGAGAGGTGAGAGGCAGGAACACCTACATCAACTACACAGACCGAAATGAAGATTCCCATCATACTTTTAAAGGCTCAGCGCTAGGTTTAAAGGCTGTATTATTACAACACCTCTGAGGATACCCTACTGTGATCTAGAAATAACATGACTAAAGGAACACTGGCTTACTTACAGCCAAGATAAGACATCAAATGACAGCAGACGCTATTTGCAAGAGAGCTTCTATTAGATTTGAATCAGCCGTTTCAAATCTCATCAGGCATCACGTGGGCATAACTTCAAAACCCTGGTCTCGGAACCGACCAGAGACCACGCCCTCTCACCAGGTCTGCTCCCATTAAGGAAATGCTGGGGGAGATGAGTCCTCCTCCTTCCATTTGTTAATGCTCTTCACCGGAGAGTCCCAGAGGGGGGCCCACAGCCCCAGCGGATACTGATGCTGAGCGAACGCATCGCGACACCGTGCTTCGGGCTGATGGAAGACCGTCAGTGAGGAGGGTTACATTTACATGCTGACGGGGAGCCTGCACAGCACACTGCTGCCTTAAACATTCATTCTGCTGTAATGGGAAGCCACTACGCAGCCTATTCCCATCAGCAGAGCTCAAACTATGATCCCTATAAAGCCATCCAAATGGCAGCACAAAGCTCCAGTACAAAGCCATATTCATTCTGTTACTCCATATAATAATAATTATAATAATTAATTATTATTATTATTATTATTGACATTTTGAACAAAGAATCATTCATCTTAATAATTAATATTTAATGAATAATACAACTCTCTTGGTTTAACACTGGGGTTCTTCAGGGTGGATATACAGGTAAGTCTTAGTGTAAGATTAGTGAAAGATTATGACAAAATATTGAACAGAAAATCTAAGTAGATTTTTTGCCTCCTTTTAAGAATATTAGTAATTTGATGGATATGCAGCTGGTAAAACACAGAACATGCTTATATAAAATCTTAGCGATGGCACAAAAGAGGTGATCTGAAAATAGGACAATGATCAGTTTTGCTTTGGGTATCAGAACCTTTCATTGACCTGTACAGCAAACGGAATGCGGCAGCAACAGAGACGAAATGACAGAATGGTCGTGAAAAGCATCAATGAATGTAAACAGTGACTTACGGAAATACTCTTCACTTCTAATACGTGTATCAATAAAACGGCACACAGCTAAAGAGCTCAAGAATCACCTGAATGCAAGAAGCAGTCTGTTCACATCTACTAATCAGTGAGTGGTACTTTCATATTAAGAATTTATAGGAGTATACCAACAGAATCCATTACACGCAAGCATAATAAACACACTGACGTTATAAAGCAGTATTTAACGTATTAATCACAACAGGAGAATGCTGAGAAAGACACACATTGAAAAGAATACATTTTAGGTGGTAAAACTAATGTTGAGTGCAGTTATTGTCTACGATATATAGCACACATATAGGTTTGAGTTCTTACAGTCTGTGCCATCTGTGAACATTATCTTTGATTTAGAAATGTACCTTAAAAAGCATAGCTGAACAGGGTTGAGCCCCAAGGGAAACGAACCAAACACCACATAAGCTTCTTATCCCCTAGGATTAAATGGCACAAGATGCTTTTATACGAGCAAACTGCTGAACTCTTATTTTACCATTTATCTGAATTACATGTGGTTAAATTCATTTTAAAAACAAACAAAACAAGAAACATCCGATGATGGCTAAAAAGAGGGGGCCACGCTCATACGGAAGAGCAACTACAACTACAAACTTAAACGATACACAATATATAATAATCTATGTACAGTACTACAAAAACTAGTTCATTAAATAGTAAAGCGTCATACCACATAGGCATAATTACTGTAAAATATAACTGTCTATAAACAAGATATGGGTCTTTTAAAATAAATTTAACTTTAAGATCAATAAATAAATGAATGAATAAATGGATAAATAAAAATGTTCATAATTATTTTCCTTTAGCCATCCGAAGCAGCACATTTTGTGCCACACTGGGACAGCACGGAATGCACTAGTTGCTGAACTAGTTCGTAAAGCTGTTGAGACACAAAACACAAATTACACGTGGACGGTTTTCGACACCGAACCGCTTGCATCTCGCTTCGGAACCGCTGGACCCGATTGGGTTTGCATATGGGTGATAATTAACGCTACAGCAGTGCGGCCGTTTCATAAGCATGTACATAACATATAGAGCACCTATATCCATACATTTTCTACGTTTAGCTAAAACGATTTCGACAACACGCGGATTTGATCATATAGCCCATGCTTTATACATCACAGGATACACTGACCAGAAAAAGGTGGCCATTATGTTGCATCTGCAATTATCGGTCATTGGTCCGATAGCCACACGAGCCAACCACTCAATTAAATAATCTCTACACCAAGCATTTAGACAGATTGAGATTTAAACCCACAAAAACCGCGTTTGGCAATGGGAAAATAAAGAAGTGTGACCGGGGCATCTCCCGAAAGGGAGTGGCAAGCTTCTAACTACGGACTTACATTCACATGCATTTCAACGATCTTTCCGACGTGGAGAATAAAGTGTATATTTATGTTTTGTCCTTTGTCGCGATCGTGAGCTAATATAAAGAATATAAGCCCCGGCTGGCGGCACGACTCGGGTATCGGCCGGCATCTCCCGTGAAACGGGCGGAGAGGAGCGCGTCTTACCTCCGCCGCCACCAGCCCGATGTCAGCGCAGCCTCCGCTCCGTCATCTGCCCCGCCTGTTCAACAGCTGACTGCCCACAACAAACCCCCCGGAAAGGGGGAAAACACTGCGTGACGTTAGCGGGGATATACCGCATTTCTTCTTGCGGCAAAACCGTGCTCCCTCCCCCTCCCCAAGCCGTAACCCACGAAACAAAAGGATCAGAAATTATGTGAAATAAGGCGTCTCACACCTCATATCAAATCAGCCTCACACAGGTGCATAGATCATATTTAAATATAGCTCAGGACTCATGCAATGCAGGCTGCACGCTTTAGCTTAATGGTGCCATTTATTATTTATATTATGTGGAAGGTTAACACGCTGCAGTTTCTCTTCTAGAGTGGCGCACAAAATCCTCACGTAGTATTTCGTCAGCACTCGTGAATTTTGATTTCTGGAAATATATTGTTCCAGTGAGATTTTTAAATTTGGATTATAAAACATATTAATTCTATTATGTATCTTATGAAGGCATTCGCTTTGAGAAGCTGCAGTCAGGACCCAATGTAAGACTACAAGTACCAGGGTTTAAATTACGCACAGTCCGGAAATGTGTGTCCGAATATCAGAAGGCTGGAAAGAAAACGGTACGCATCCTATCCCGTAATGAAAACCTTTTTATCACAATAAAAATATATAGTATACGTATTCATGTTAGATGCTAGATAACGATCGTGCAGATATGTATGGAGATTAAAGCAAATTATGCTTATTTACATGTGCATGTTACGTACTGGCTACTTATTTGCGTTGTTGCCCAGCACTTATGATCATAGCATGTTTAAGACGGCTAGGTGGCGCCGTGGTTAAAGGTATGCAGGTATGATAGGAAGGACCAATCTACTCCTCTTGAGCGAGGCTATCAGACCTCCCACCTCTCCCGGAAGTTCCGGGAATCTCCCACAAATTGACAGCAGCCCCCTAACACCCGCAAATGATGCGCAATGTCCCGGAAGCGTCTTGTCCCACTATTCAGCTGTGGTAAAATTAGCTGTCAAGAAATTTTACTGCTGCAACCTCACCCCAAATTTTACTACCACTGTCTAGCGCCGATCAGCATATTACCCCCCCACCCCCACCCCAGTCTGCAATATATATAAGGTATTGCCGTAATACCAGCCAAGCATTGGTCAGCACTCCTGCCTTCCCACATGCCCCTCATTTGCCTCCCTGAAATCAATAAGCCTAAGGTGGGTTGTCTGAGTTTTCCATCAGTATGCTCATGTAATGGGATGAAAAATACATCTGTCCAAAGAGGGGTGACAAAGTGTCATGTGATCAACTAAAACATGAATGACATTACTGCCACATTGGTACCTTTTACACCGTACAAAATATGTAATAGAGACTAATCTTAATGTCCACTGCAAAACATCCGTGTTATTTGTAGGAAGAAAACGCTGCAGTGACTGCACTGACCAATTTTGCACGGGTGCCGACCATGATAAAATACAGGTTTGCTGATGCTTCACTAAGCTCTAAAGCTTGTGAGTAAGTGGGCAGAAAGCAGCGTAACTCGAACCCAGATAGTATACTGACAGGATGGTGGCAAACGGTGCTTTCATTATATCATAAGTGTGATTCCATGATGCATCATTTGATCAGTTTGATCATGGCTACAGTCCACCAGGGGTCACATATACAGGACTTGGGCAGCCCCCCAGTGCAAACCCCCCAGGGTATTCAGAATATTTCAATAAACAGATAATACTCAACTGGGATCCAACAAGTACAGTATTTAAAATAACAAATATTTTTATTTACACTATGTGAAGCAATATTCTTTCTTCCCAGTGTCAGACAGCATCAATGTGAGAGACATTGTTGCATTACAATGAAAAGTTTCCCCGTAGAGGCTTGATTTTTATGCTTGTTTTCCATTGCTGTTGGGAACCTGGTCAGAGACTGCATCCTCTCTCCTCCCACTGAACCAGAAACGCCTACCTTCTCCTGAACTGTGTGGGGGATAATGAAGTCATTAAACCAGACTAACCTTTTTCTTGTCTTACTTTCTCAGGGTTGCATGGGTTTTGCAAACCATTTTCTCTGGGTATTTCCAGGGTTTGCTGTAAAGGGGAGGAAAGTTAAGATGATTCCAACTGCCACTGGGTGACAGGGGGGCCCTAAAAGCTTTGTAAAATAATTGGATTGGTCTGGGTTGGGGGCTGAGTATGACATGCTGTCATGGGGCCCGAAAGCTCTAGTGGCATCCCTGAGTGTTTCAGTTCACCCTAGTCTGAAATCACACAGTTCAGGTGAATTGGTAATTGTCAGGGGACAAACATTAGAAAAACTTCGATAACAAAGTTCAAAGCAAGGCACAAAAAAAACACTGCCCCCAAGTGGCATATGCATGTATGACACCAAGTCTTCTGCATGCCAGGCTTTTTACTCTTTGAAACATTGGTCTGGTGCTTGGTGATGACAAAGACAGCCCCCACAGAGCAGAGAACAACCCAGGACGCAAGCTTAACTTGGGCTGCTGTCCCATCGAGGGCTCGCACTTGGCGCAGGAGTGAAAGTTTCCACCGTGGCAGAGGTTACAGTGCTGGGATTCCCGTGGTCGCCCTCAGCACAGCCCCCCCCCCAGAGGCCTCATGGCCCCTCCCCCAATGAGAAGCTCCTCTGTGCCCTACTTTCATTAGGAATGAGACGTCTGTGTCTCTCATCACAAAGCCCATGGCCCTCGATTCATGGCTTACCTCATTCCCCACCTGGGCCAGAGTGCCTGGTCCATAAAGCCCAAACCGTTACAGTACTGGTCAGGGATGATCTGCGTTTTGTGGCCTGACTGAGGCCCCTTGTAAACATCTATGTACTGTATATATGTACCCCCTTAACAGCATGATGTTATTTGGAATGATAGGGGTACAGCCCAGTTCTGATGTGACCTGCAGGCATGGTACAAAGGTACCTGAAAAAGTATCCAGTGTTTTCACAGAATGGGGTGAAAATGGGCTAGGCAGGATAATACGGTATACCGTGGTATTTTCATCTAGTGTTGTTTTTGAAAATACTGTATGGGAAGATATGTGAGATGCATGCTGACTAGCGGTGTGCTATAAACAAGGATTAATGTAACCGTATTAGCACTATAAAGAATTAAATACGCTGGTAATTTCTTGTCATAACATCACAAATGCATTATTTTCCACATTTTTTATAAAAAAAAAATTTCATGTCATGACAATGAAAATGCACATAAGATAAACCTCCATCCTCTATTGCAGTCCTATGAAAGTGAGGGGTCATCCCCCCCCCCCATGGCACACCAGAGCGGTTTAGCAGTGCAGATTCAGGGGTCAATGTTGATGTAAATGAAAATGAATTTGCTGTGCTGCCAGAAACAAATTTTCTGCTCGTGATGAGCAACTGGAATAGAACTGAATGAGAGGTGAATATTTTTTCATGCTTGTGGGCCTGCACCTTTAGACCCATGGATAAAACCTGTATTTTCAGGTTAGTATTTGGGTTGCCACAGTTGTGTGTGAGGTTCTAAATGAGGAGCTGCACCCAGAAGGCGCTGTATGTGAGGGTGGGAGGAAATATTATGGACTATGCTCTCTCAAGCATACACACACACACACACACACACACACAGGCCTGTACTCATATCTTTGTGGGGACCTTCCATTCATTTCTATGTCCAAAACCCTAATCCCGACAATGACAACCTTAACCCTACCCAGCCCTAACCTTAACCATAAGTAACCAAACACATTTTTTTAGTTTTTTGATTGCAATTACAGATATTTATAGAATTGAATTTCCCCTTGTGAGAACTGAAAAAATGGTCCCCACAATGTCAAAATAACAGGTTTTAATCACATTGTGGGGACATTCGGTCCCCACAAAGTAAGGTATATCTGACTCACCCACATACACACACACACACACTGTTCATATATTCCTGGCATTGTGGGGACTCTCCATTCATCTCAATGGGTATAACTGTACTCCAAATTTTGATAACCTTTACCCAGCCCTAACTTCAGGAACTGAGTATTGTGCCTTCTGGGGGCTGAGCTGATGGAGCTATTGTGCTGTGCTGCCGATGCCGGGCACCAGGGGGAGCTGTGGCTCCTCTCCTAGCTGCGGCATCGGACTTGGAGGCGAGTGGTGGGATGGAGACTGCTGTGAAGCTTCCCTGTTACAGCGCAGAGGAGATCCTGGAGCCTATCCTTGCCCAGGTGCAGCTGGCGGCATGGCACAGCGCTGACCCACCAGGCCCGGGCACAGCAGCGGGGGGAACCCCAGGCCCTCCTCAGTCTCACCCCAGGTGAGCAGCAGGCTTATGCTGCTCTGGCCCCCACTCTGGAGCAACATTTCAGCTGGCGGCTGTCAGAAGAAGCCGTGAGGAGGAAGCTGGCGAGTCAGAGGAGCCGGGAGAGCTCGGCACTGAGCAGATACATGCATTTATGCATGGCAAGGTCACCCATGTTTCCCCCGCCATGCAGGAAGAGCCGGCCATCCATGCCTTCATCAAGCCATTAACACCAATGCGGCTCTGCCGGCACCTCCAGCTGCAAGCGCCAGCTACGCCGGCTGACGTTAGCGTAAGCAGAGAGGGCTGCAGCGATGCCGTTTCTGCCAGTAATGCCAAGCTGTCAGCCAGCTACGCCGTACCACGTGCCGCCAAACTGTACCTGTGGCGCTGAGAGCCGCGAGAAGAAGACCAGAGCAAGCAGTGCCGTGAAGGAGCCCACGAAGGAGCCCTCCCCTCTGTCTGAGCAGGTGGGCTGGTTATGCCACAAGCGCGGCCTCTACATGGACGCCATTTGCATTGTGGAGGGTGCCTGATGCCGGGTCTTGGTGAACATGGGGTTTGGCATGACCAGCAGCCGCCCGGACGTCCTCCCAGGCACTGACCAGCCAGCCCCACCATGGTGGGAAGTGATGGGGGTCTGGCCTGCTTTTATTCCCAGTTTATTTTGAAAGGGAAACGAGGGCTTGGCATCACGCAGCCAGGGTGGATAACACACCAGGAAGTGTGATTGGCCGATAGCTGTGACCCCTGCATCATTGGACTCGACTTGCAGTGCCTTCTGGGGGCTGACATAGATGAGTCCAGAGCCACGCTCCGCCTTGGCAATGACACAAAGACCAAAGTCAACAGGCACAGCAGCGCACTTGACGGCCCACCTCTCCCTTAACTGTTCTGCCACTTCTCAGCATGCAACTAATCCACCCAATGTAGAAAAGGTGGTCAATCACAGCGGTGCTGGTTGAGGGTTAGGGTTAGATGGGCACCTTGACATCTTTGTGGCCCGGGATGACAAGTTCAGACCAACCACACTTGTCCAACACCGGATTGATACTGGAGATGCCCAGCCCATCCTCCTGCCACCTCACCGTTGGTACCTGATAAGCGTCAGGCACACACACAATCATACTATATGGGCAGCTGAGAGAAACCAGTGAGCCTGACTATTGATTTTGGATTCTAGATTTAAGATTTTTGTGACATGCATAAATGTAGGAGTACGCCAGCAGTGAAATTAAATTGCAGCTACTCCAGACTGTGAAATAAAGAAGGTAGAAGGATAATTAAAGCAAATAACATAAAGTAACAGAATGAGTATTAAATATATAGAAGCATATAAAAGTACACAGGTAGTTCTTGACTCTATGAGCTAATCCGTTCCAAATTATCGTCGTGAAGACGGAGGTATTTCCCATATAGATGCTATAGAAATGATGACTTTGGTTGCAGGCAAAAAAATTATCTTAAGTTTTTGCCAAATAAACAAAGGAAACACAAACGTATTATTAGAATTAACCTTTAATCAAAAAATTTACAAAAAAAAAAAATCGTGGAGAAAAACAAAAAACACCTATTTGCTTCACAGTCAGTTTTGGTCACTTTGATTTTCAACAGATGGGTGTTTTTTTCCTTCATGTATCCCTTTCGGAGCTGGTGGCGATCGGTACCTATAAAAACCCCGGTGTATTATTGGGATCAGGGTGGGTCATGAAGCTTAAGTGGTGCGTACACACTGGGCACCATTGTACAACAGGCCAAAAAGCGTGCAAGGTGCAAATTTGTCAGATATTTCAGAAAGCAAAGCTATCTGAAAAGTTTGTCAGGCCATGGACGGCGTTTTTGGCTTTGAGTTAGGTGCAAGTTTAAATAAAATAATGAAAAATGAAATTTTTATTTTTGCCGCAGGAAATTCTCGTAAACATATAAATAGGCCTACATATATATCGGAGCTCCGAAAGCGAGAACCACCTGTATACAAGTATATTTATAGGCTAGTTATAAAAAATACAAAACGCAATATAAATATTTGAAGTGCAGGTTGTACTTATAGCTTATTTTAGTTTTTAATTGGCGGCGTTAATGATCGTAATATCCATGGGGTAGAAGGTTCTTCTCAGCCTCTCAGTCCCGCTAGCTAGCTAGCGAGTCTGACCAGGATAAGAAGATGCATGGATGTCACATGAACATCTTTAGATTTTAAATGTATTCAGCAGGTGCTTCTACCCAAAGCTCCCTACCAGACAGTCCATGTTTTTGCTCCCTCTCAGCTACCGGTAGCAAAACCGTGAACTATCTGCAGGTCTCCGAGGACAAAGTTTGGAAACACTGCTCTAAACGTGTGAGCTTTCGACAAGGTAACACGCCTTTTCATACCTCACAATGTCCATTGTTTTTATTCCATTGTTTTGTGTAATGACACAGCCTGGTGTTTCTCCTACAAACAAAAATCGTTCATTTCCTTACCAGCTAATTCCACCTAAGCAGGAGGGAGAAAAAGTAAAATGTTGTAGTTGGGAGTGAGGCTGCCAGATAATGGCTGTTTACTGTAAAAATTACATTTCTTACATTCCTCAATGATGGTAAAGCTGTACTTAAAATAGGAAATAGATGCTGGTTAGTTATTTTCTATATTGCCACTAAAGGACAGTATACTGCCCTAATACTTAAAGAGGGTTAATTTTCAATGGAAATATTTAAATATAAGCAACTAGAGGACTGGCTGAATTTTCGATATTAGAAATGTTTTGTAAGTGAACACTTTAGGTCACACATCTGAGGTTTACCTTCTCTGGTTATGATTTTATTTTAACCACAGGTTGCCCCCCCCCCCCATTCATCACTCACCCATAACGCGGTGGGTAACTGCAGGGTCTGTCATCACTGAACTTTGAGTGAATAAAATCCAGAGCGAAACCGAAAATTCACGGATGGGTATTTAACGTGCAGATGAAACTCTCCATGGAAACCAATACCTTTCAATGCAGCTGGGGAATTAACAATGAAGTTGAGGGTTAGGAAGCAGGGGCCTGGTCTATTTGCATGCTGTTTGTAGTGAGAAAAGCTCTTGTTTGTGCTTGGAGTCACGTGAATCAGGACAAGCCTGATAGAGTTTTCTGCCTCCACTGTCATTATATTTCCTTGCAGATTTCCTCTTAGGGCCCAGGAAGCTCGCATCCCACAATAGAATGAGCAAAAATAGGTCCATTTCATTTCTTTTCATGGTGAGCCTCCACCAGCGACTAAAATATACTTGACTCTATAGCTGTTAGCATCACGGTCTCCCTGTATCCTTGGATTGCCAAAAAAGAGAATATCGATCTGTTAATGTTGCAGAGTAACGGCTTGGAATGTAAAGTGTCCATAGGGCTGCACCAAATGCATTTGGTGTCCTTTTGTACAGTAAATTCGTAAACTCTCACATTTTTTGGAATGTTTCTGTCATAGGGATTTCAAATCTCCGTTTTTACTCCGTTTCACTGTTTGAAAGGCACACCATCAAGCACAGTTCCTCTTCTGGGAAGCTCTCTGTATTTTCCAGTTTATGGCACAATGCTGTGTTACAGGGCACCAAAATTTCATCAATTCTATAATTTCAGGCAACGCCATAAAACATTCATTGAAGTCATCAGTCGTGCCCCATGTTAAGCAGTTGCTTTGCCTGCCTTATTACCTGCTTCATTTTATGTTGCCTAGGACCATTAAAACAGGTCATTTGGGCACATACAGCTAACTTGCTTTGTAATCCCCAACGCGGCGTAGGAGTTTATTACCCAGAAGGCCTTGTCTTTGGAGGCTGTCCTCATGATGGACAGATTGAGTCAAAATTAAAAATTTAAATTGTTTTTATTCATAGTTTTCATTTCTGTGTACAATGCAATAAGCAAGGACAATTTCTGAGTAGGATAAAACTAAATAAAATGTATGTGGTGGTTTTAATGTTTCCTGGCATGCCTAGTGGGTCACAGGGGTATCATTCAGCTCCACCCGTCTGTCTGCTGCTTGTGACTAATGATCCTTTATTAGTCTTATGGAGTAAGAGATAAAGACCCTTCATTTTGCTTGTGATTGCAGACAAGCATCGCATAAAAAAAAAAGGGAAATACGAGTTGAAAGGGCTCTTTGTGATTCAGCAGGGGTGTTCACAAGTGAAATTAAGCTTAATTAACATTGTCTGTTAAACACGGCATCGCACCAGTGTCTGAAATCAGGCAGCGTCGCTCAGAGTCACATAGGATGTGCAATCAGGCTTTTTTTAGCATTTAAGATCTGAGGGTCTTGTTAGCACGTGAAATTGCAAAGAATACCGGGGAAAAGAAAGATAATGATTAAGCTGTTTTGTGCACAGATGAGTGCTGAATGGTGTAATATCTAGTGAGGGGGGGGGCTCGCACACACTTTGAGCTGTCCTAGTTATATCTGACTGTCAGTGGGTGCTTTTTATTCCCCAAAGCTGTATCTGTTAAAGCTACACTTTCATGCTGTGGCGTGCTGGTAGAAAGGAGAATGCTCCAGAAGGAAAAATGTCAGGCCATAATTATTACTACACATACAGGGCATCAAGGCGACCATCATCATCATCATCATCATCATCATCATCATCAAGGACCTCCATTACGCCAGGGCATTTATTTATCATCATCATCATCATCATCATCATCATCAGGGACCTCCATTATGGCAGGGCATTTATTTAACATCATCATCATGCCTTTTTCCACAGGGTCATCATCATCATCATTATCATCATCATCATCATCATCTGAGCCGGTGCAGTCATCATCATTATCATTAGCCTCAGTAATCATCCAGGGAAGGTGGAGGGGGGGGTGTCTGAAAGCTGGATATATATATAACAGCAGATCAGGTTCCCTTGCTGCAGTTCCTCCTCAGATCTCACACTGAAAGCTGAAGCCCCCGTCCCCGGCTCCCGCCAGCCTGCCGGAGCTGCCTCTGGAGGCATCAGACCCCCGACTCGCGTCCCCGGCTCCCGCCAGGCTGCCGGTGCTGCCTCTGGAGGCAGCAGAAGCCCCCGTCGGGCTCCCCCAGCTCCCACCTTCTCTCTGCTGGGCTCAGGTGCAGCTTTACCTTCGACGGCCAGTATCGTAAGTATACATATCAGGACGGAAATCACTCCAATGCTCCCTAGCATTTCAGTAAACATTACAGTGTTTGTTCTTGTTTCAAGTGACTTTTAAAGAGGCTGAAACTATTTTAGATTTAGAGAAAATGTATAATATTATATATATTTTTTGCTATTTAATTGTAAAATACCTGCAAATTTAAGAAATGTGAGTTACTAATGATGTGAAGACTTAGCATGTCTCAAGTTAGTGAGATACGCATGAATGTTTGAAAATGTGGTTGTGGTGGGAGGGCTGGATAAGGTATCACCTCAGATCTCTGGGGGAGTAGGATGAGAGACTGTCATGTTTGCGTCCGGTGTGGTTTATAAGACAAGCTTTTGGCCATGCTCTTTTCTCTGTTCCTGGCAGAAACAGGGGTTGAGTCACACAAGACTGAGTATGGACGACAATGTGCAGGATATTCAGGATGCGCAGGGCAAACAGGACTACAGCTCAATGCCCTGCCTGGCCTGTAGAGGGCGTACTCATCTCTTAACAGATCCTCAGGGCAGCGGGGAAGACCTTGCTGGAGTATCTGGCTTTGGTTGCGGAACGGGGGCAGGGGAGGTGGCGGAGCGAGCGCAGAGGGGCGTGGCTAAAGGCAGGGATGATGCAGTGGCAGGTGACGGCGAGCTAAAACTGCACTCCTGTGAGCTGTGTGGCTTTTCCACGCGCTACGCTAACCACGTGAAGCGGCACATGAAGACGCACAGTGGCGAGAGGCCCTATCGCTGCCCGCTGTGCGCTTACGCCTCCGGCCAGCTGGTCAACCTGCAACGACACGTGCGCGTGCACACGGGCGAGAAGCCCTACCAGTGCCGGCTCTGCGCTTTTGCCTGCAGTTCCCTGGGCAACCTCAAGAGGCACCAGCGCATGCACACGCTGGGCAGACATGGCCGTCATCCCGGCGGGAACCAGGCGAGGCTAATGGCTGGTCAGCGATCAGGAAAAGCCCCCCCGGGGGATCTAGGTAACTTAAATATCTTCAGGAATTTATAACATGATTCACAACGATCTCAGTTTTAGATTCGATTTAAAACATCATGAGTAGGAGTGTTAAATTTCAAAATTTTATTTAATTAGTCATTACCCTTACACTAGCCATTAATGAATGCGTCTACCATTACATTAATTACAGCAATAACATTATTTGTTAGTATAGAATTATGATTATCAGTAAATTACAGGGTTCACAATTATTTTTTTTCACATGTAAATTAGGTATAACCCCCATCCCCCTTCCCCTTTATGAACAGACACTGTGGCAGCAAATAGGGCGGCGCATGTGAGCGGCGATGGTAGCTACAGCGCTGCCAGTCCAGCCTGCGAGTCGGGGAGCCCCCCGGACACGGAAAAGCCAGCGAAGGGGGCGGGGGAAGCAGCAGGGGGTGGGGAGGGCGGCCTTCCCGGGCCGCCATTTTCACAGGCCTGCAGACTGTGCGGCCGGGACACGACCGAGCGAGGGAGCTCGTGCGGCCGCATCTGTGGGAGGTGCATGCTGGACGTGCTGTCCAAGGAGCTCCCCAGGGTCCTTGGCGGCGGCGGGGAAAAGGCATACCCATGCGCCGTGTGCCCCTTCGTCACCCACTACCCCAACCACCTGGTACGGCACATGAAGACTCACAGTGGAGAAAAGCCCTACCGCTGCCCCGAGTGCGACTACGCTTCCGCCCACCTGGACAACCTGAAGCGGCACCACCGCGTGCACACGGGCGAGAAGCCCTACCGCTGCCAGCTGTGCGACTACGCCTGCGGCAACCTGGCCAACCTGCGACGGCACCAGCGCGTGCACTCGGGCGCCAAGCCCTTCCAGTGCACCGTCTGCAACTACAGCTGCAACCAGAGCATGAACCTGAAGCGCCACATGCTCCGGCACACTGGCTGCAAGCCCTTCTGCTGCCCCGAGTGCCCCTACGCCACCGGCCACTGGGACAACTACAAGCGACACCAGAGGAAGCACGGCCGCCCTGCCGGGGGCTGGCTCAGGGTGCGGCTGCCCAACGATGGGGGAGGAGAGGAGGAGGAGGAGGAGGGGGCGGAGGAAGAGGCGCAGCTGGATCAGCTGGAGTAGCTGGGGAAGTGGATGGACGACACACCATTGATATGTCACCAAGCAACAGCAGTGAAGAATTAGGGCTGATTTATACTTGCCGCTCACAACGCATAGAAGTACGCAGCATGGCTGCCACGCATTTCCTGCGTTCATTCTACGAGTCCTAGGTGCCCCTACGCAAGGAGTTAACGTGACGCTTACGCAAGATGCAGTACCACCAAAAATGGGGGGCAGTGCGGTCACCTTTTGTCACGGGACTATGTGTTCATATACGGTAGTTAGTATTAAATTAACATTAGATTTTTTTAAGAATGAGTGGCCGTAAGAACTGTATATTTTCAGAGCCAAGATAGAAAATGTTGCGAGCACTCTTTTGAGCGTCTTCAAAATTTAATGGCAGTTTAAGTTTCTAAGAAAGCAGTAGCATGTGAACGAAGTGCAATGAAACTCCAACTTGAAATTCTGACTTGTCTACTTTCATAAGCAACATTATTTTCCAATACAGTTCCGGTATTTATAAATCTGGGTTATAGAATTCGCCGAGAGGGTGGGGTTCACGTTCCACTAAAGCATTTATATTGTTATAGGAAACTAAACTTAGCAAGCTGTGCATTTTTAATGACCGCTCCTTTTCAGAATAATCTAGTATATATTTAACATTAGTTTACCGCCGCTACTTTTGCATGAACTCTGCATGCGCTCTTCAAGTCATTCCAAATCATTGTCATCCTTGCTGTTTAGATTACTCATGCATAGACGGGTTTGTGGGAAACTGGTTTATTTTGAACAATTTTTTCTTTATACATACTGCAGTACTTATTGCAGAAAGTACTGAAAGTTCCAGTTATCGTGCAGCCTAATTACAAAATTCTAAATACTGCGACATATCTAACATACGATGCAACATTCAACATGGGGCAATAAAGTGATATGTGGCAGTGAAGAACGAGGAGGCAGCAAATATACATCTTTCCTTGGCACACCCTCATACCAAACAAGTGAGACCGGAAACGGGGGAGCAGACCAAGATGGCTTTCTGGCCCCTGCTGGACATGACCTTTAATCCTCCAGAGAGACGTAAACTAAAGGTGCAAGTACAGTCAGTACGCTGCTTGCGTTGCGTCCATATCGCATTGCGTATGCGCCCCCCGCGTGAAGCCTGTCACGGCCCTTAGGGGACTGTGGTAAATATGGGTGCTGTTAATTGAGTTATTTTAAAAAGCCCTTTCAATGCAGCCCTCAGCAGGACAAACAGTCTGAGTGTCATTTCTGTTTGTGCAAAAAAGGTCAAAATAGAAATAATGAGTTAAAAATATTCACATTCAAAATATACAATTAATAAAATGCAGTTGTATTTCATAGGTGCTTTCCAGTCGATTCTATCTCCTGGTGTCCATGTAGTCGGCATTCTGCTAGAATATTCTGTCTGGTTATTCTGGGCTTCCCAGTGGCCGGTTCATTGTTATGACTGAGTATATCCACCTTTCTGCACCTTTACCTTCTCCCTTTCCATGCATTATCTCTTCTTCGAAGCACTGTGCCATCCCATAATATAGCTAAAATAAGCTTCAGGCCGGTCATTTGCACTTCAAATGGAAATTCAGGCTGCGGGATTCAGCGTGAGATTCTGAAGAATCCATGTGTTTGTTGGAATCCTTCTTCTAATGCACCGATACTCTTCATGCCCTGCCACTAATTCACCGTCTGGTGCCAGGCCCACAGAGCCGCAGGAAACATCACACTCGACGCGATTCTGCCCCAAGTTCTTAGAGACATGTCAGTCCTTTTGAAAATCCTCCATCGCCGCTCTGTCGGGGTACCAGTCTGTGAAATATATTTTTACTGCTGGAGCTTTAGTTACTCATGAATTTTATCTTTAGGGTTGAATGTTTTTGAATATAGTAGAACATTTTGAAGAATGTGTTTCTGTTTGTAAAACGGTATCAATTTCCTTTCAGTGAGTAAAGGGAACATGACTCATGTTACATGAATATTTAAATAAATGTAAAAAAAAAATGACTGATTTTGATGTCGTCGTGTTGAAATCAGCAGTATCCTGTTTATTTTTGCCCTGCTGTAGTTTCCGGAGCTTTGTTTTGTCTTTTTGCGACAAAACCAAACCAGCTGAACACGCCTTCAGATGATTTCTGCACAAGAAATGAGGGGGGGGGGGGGCAATTTCCAAGTATAAGAAAATCAGTAATGCATGCAACCCTCTAAGAAATTAATACTAATAAACTAATTTTTGGGTCTGCTTACTCCGCTGTGGTGAGAGGTGCGATTCTCGCTGTGTGTGTGGAGTTTGCATTTTCTCCCCGTTTTTATGTGCTTGGCCTCCTGCAGCACAAAAACGTTTGTAAGTATGTGACCGGCGTCTGGCCCAGGGTGCTGCACGTGACACGCACTGCGCTTCCTAAGATAGGCTCCAGGCTCATAGCAAACCAGCCGGCAGGACGGATGAATGGAAAACAAAATTGCACCAAGTCAGCAATACTTCCAACTGACAAGCAATTTGGCAGTGCAGCTTGGTGTGAGGATTATTGATTCACTGCTTCTGTGAGAAATCAGAGCTGACATGAGGAGAGCTGAAAACGGGGTTCTGTTGTACGGTGAGTCAACATCAAGGATACCTCAGGCCCCCAGTCCCCGTGGGGATAAGGCGCTGACTACTGGCTCCTATCACATCACTGATGTGGGGGCTCAATTGAAGGCTGCAAAGAAACCAGTGCAAAGGAAAATGGAGGGGGGGGGGAGCTTTCAGAATCAATACCAGAGCAAAACCGTGAGGTCTACGAATAAGTTATTAAATTCAATATCAGCAGTGCGGTAATGCGGGAAAATAAATTAAATTCCAATACAAAGAATGCGACGAGAGCATTCGCTGAAATTTCTCTTTTCCATTGATTTGCCGCCACCTTTTTCAAATGATATATTAAAACATAAATAATGTACGTCTACAGCGGGGTTGCAGCCCTGGGGCATGAGGGGGTATCGCCTTTAATTAACAGCTCGCATTTCCTAAAGGCAAAAAAGAAACCCGTTTCCCCAACTCCTTTCTCTTTTATATATTTCACTGCTTTTAAATCAAGTACACGTAAATGTTTCTCTCTTTCTTTTAGTTGAAATGATTGCATATCACTTTAATAGCCTATTCCGCCAGCAGATAAGTCAAACTGCGTTAAACTGCGGAACACAAATTACCTAGACTTGTGTGCCAGCTACATTTAAAACATTCCCTTAAATGATGTCACCGGATTGCCGGCTGTCCGTCTCTGATGTTGTGATGGTAAGACTGGCCAAATGGAAACTATACAGACGGAGGCAGACATTTAACTAGACCCTCCTTTCTAATTTCCTGATTGATTGGAGGCCCAACTAAAGCGTCATTCCCATTTCCCTCCTTTTCAGACTCCCTTCCCCTCCCTGCCTATAAACGCTGCTTTAAGGAAATGGAGTGTGGTACTAAAATCAAGTGCGAAGTGAGTTTTCCTGTCGGTTGATGCCAACGCCCTCTTCCTACAAGCAAAAACCAAAGTCTCTGAATGAAAACATGTACAGAGAGTATGGAGAAGCGAATTACCCTAAACCGATAAAAAAGACAGTTATACGAATTTAAATGTTTACGCAAATGCATGAAATAGCCAGATTTTAAAAGGGTTGCTCAGCTATACACTGTTGGACTAAATTTAGAACATTCTGCAAAAGACTAAAATCTAGAATAAACAAAAAATGTAAGAGGCCAAGCTAAAGAATATCAATGCAGATAAGTGGCCAAAGGCATTAACAACAATATAAATGACATTTATATACAGTCACGGGAAAAATTAAGAGGCCACTATGTATTTTTTTTTTCCAAATCTGCATTTTAAAATCCTGGTTAAATCGTGGTTCTGCTGGCAGAATGTTACACTGAGCAGCTGGATGCTTCCAGGTTACAAATTTCAAAAACAGCAGTACAGAAGCATAAGGTAAAGCAGGAGACGCTGGGTACAACCACATACCAAACATACCAGACATACCAAAGGTTGGAAGTAACATTCTAATGCCAGAGATGACCGTTAACTTATCTGACAGTTTCTCATGAATCGTTGGATGACATCAAGTGACTTTCAGAAGGAATGGGAAACATTAAGTGCAGGTGTGAAGTGCACTGCTAGGACAGTTTATATCAGACTCCTAGAAGCAGGATGGAAGTCCCATAAAGCAAGGAAGAAGCCCTTCAGTAATGAGAAACATGGAAGAACCAGGCTGCAATTTGCAGAAAAACACCCATAGATTGAGAAATGAGTGAAACAAAAAAATATATATATTATGCTTTTCCATGGCTATATGTAGAGCACTACCAGTGTATACACAACTGTCATCTTTCTTAAGTTTCATTATTTTGTTCCAGTTTTTATTTCTACATTTTTCAAAAAAACTGGTTTTGTGGTTTTCGCCGTTTTATTACCATAAACTTTGGTCTAGGTAACAAATTATGGAGGAGCTTTTCTTTTAAATCTCCCAATCCTTTGAATAGAAGACTTTTTTTGTAAGAACGAGAAGCTGAAAGCTAGAACGGTCCATTAAACATGCGGTGAAAAACATCTTAAATCCAAGATTCCACCGATTCCAGAAAAAAAGTCAACTTTACACCACTAGGGGGCACCATAGTAGTCCATGACCGTGAACAACAAAACCGGAAAAAATAAAATATTAGGAGCAAATGAACCCATGGAGTTCACGTGTAGCTTCACCTCCCTGGAGAGATAAAGGTTACTCATTTGGGTAACACTGCTTTAAACAGTCCTTACCATTACCTCTTAAAATCTCATATCAAATTCCTTGTGTAAACTTGCCGGTCCAATTTTAGAAATGTCTCATGTGGAAATAAAATCCATATGACAGTGGATTTATCAGCCTTTCATTTAATGGCTTCAAATGCCAGTTTGGGGGGGGGGGTTCTGAGAGATGGGGAGGGGGTGTGTGTGTGTCACACCACCCATGACACTCTTTCCCCAAATGTGTTCATGCAAAAAATACCTCAGGAACAGTCCAGCCAATGAAACTGGCAAAAACAAACAAACAAAAATAATAAAGAACAGTGCCATTATCAATGGGAAACACAACTGGGACTTTTATTCTAAAAGCCAATTATATAACCGGTCAAGCAAAGAAAAGCAAAAAAATAGATTTTGCAATTCTCATTTATTGTTCATACAGGTGAAAATGATCAAAATGACAGCTCTACATACTTAAATGATACTTAAATGCATACAATAGTCATTTATTTTCCAGACAAATTGTGAACCTTACAGAATCAGCACAGAATCACAAAGACAACTTCACTTTACGCCAGCCTTCTATGACAACTAAAAAGGGGGTCTAAAATGACATGTTCTTAGCCTAATTAAATCACGATCTCTTCCGAAACCAGTAAGCAAGACTCATTATCGATTTTGTGTCTGGAATGATGCAAGCGGAATGGAGGTAAATTTCATTTTGCCAAGTCTGCACCATCGATTTTTCTGTGATTCAATCAAGGCAGTCGCAAATAAAATTTGGCCATTAAAAAGGGTTTCATTTCATCACAATCCTCAGCAAAAAAAGGCAAGACTAACCAAATGCAGACAAAATAAAACAAATCTGAACCATATGCAGAATCAAAACCTCTTTTTTCCAAATTAATTTTATTACTAGTAAGAAATTCTGGAATTTGTAAACATTTGTTCATTCCATCTACAAATTGCTACAATTTTGTAAACAATATTACTTTTGTAGGTTACTTTTAATCTATTTGATTACAATGCACTATTAAAGATAGATTAGTAATGTTCAGAATACTTTTTAATTACACATACATATATAAAAGTGACTATACTATGATTTAATGTTTTTTTGTGCAAAATGCTGTAGTAAACTATAATTTTGGCATTAATGAGAAGACCTTTATATAAGCTGAAAAAAAATTAAAGAAATTGTGGACCTTGAGAACACATTTCCAATACTTCACATTGCATTTGTTTGTTTGTTTATTTATTTTGTTGGCATTACTATTTTTAAATAAATATGTTGACCTCTTTCAGGTCTTAATACTGTGCAAAATTATTTGTTTGGCAACTGCAAGTAAAGGTGAGCTAACAGCACCAAATTCTGCAAGATATGATCTACTGAACTCCCACTGTTTGAAACTTTACTCAGACTGTCCAAACTGGGTTATAACCAATATTAAAAAAGGAGGTTTCTGACGTAAAAGGCTCAATAAGGCTTTCTGATACTGGTAAGGCAGCAAGAAAGAACACTTTCACCGTCAGATGGAAAAATCTACGCTTGAGGTTTCCAGAACATTCCTTGTAATGTGTTTGACTACAGACACTGCTCGGTCGCCAACAGTTAAATGGTATAGACCACATATGAGAAAGCAAATTGTACAGTGGACCCTGGAGAGGTTTGGCACAATGCACATGGCAAACATAGAAGGACCGTGTTAAACTCTGATGCTAACATTCCACCAGCTGCAGAATAGCACACAGCTGTGGAATTGAACACTGACCTTTTCATCTTGTTACTTTGACAGAAATCAACCCTATTTTGGGAGAGATGTTCACGGCATTCCTGACACATTCCTCTGGCTGAAAATGTTATTTTCTTTATTGAAGTGCAATGCTATGTACAGTGTTCTTCACTAGTGTTGAATCCTATTCGCCAAGGGCCTCTTTAACAGAAATCCACATGTATCTGGAACTGCGTGCTCAAAGTTTCGCATCTAATCTCCTGAGAAGTTTCGTTAGCAGTGGGAGGATGCTGCTGAAAATGAGCCCAACAAGCCGTGTTGAGCCTGGGCATGAAATGGATCATGTTTGTACCTCAAGCCACTCAACCACACCCCGTTACGCCCCGTACGATTAACGCATTTCTCTGTGACGTTCGGAAGGTGGCCAATAATGAAGGTACGGATACACGCACAGGAACGTTCCAGTTCAGGAAAGCAGCGCTCAAGAACAACAGCTTTAATGGACAGAAAACCAGACTGACGATAACTGTCAACTTCTAAAGATGCAGCCAATTTGTTCTGAACAGACAAATGTGTTAAATCCAGCATGTGTTCTTCAGACACAAGACAGACAAGAAAAATACTGATTAAAATAAAAGTACTTTACAACAGCCATCAACTGAAAGTAGCGCAATTAATTCCAGTCTGAAACATTGCACAACGAATGTAGGATTTAACTAAGAGCTCCCATGGGTGGATTACAACCTTGCAGAATTTGGCTACATGTCCGCCTCAACCAGCCCTTCAGCACCGGCTCGTTTCGGAAACGGCGCAGGCTACAAATCGTCATCGCCGATCCCTTCGAAGGCGTAGTTGCCATGGAAATCATTGCCGCTGATGTCATTGCTGGAGCTGGAACTGCTGATGCCTCTTAGGGTGACGGAGGTCAGCTTGGTCTAAGAGAGACATGGAAGTGGGAAAAGTCAGTGTTGTGCGGTGATTCTGATCATGGAAGGAAAAGCTTGGAAGGAGGGAAGAATGGCAGTGGGATTGGGCAAGAAGATGAAGGGCCTGGGGTTGTTTTTGTTGTACAGTCATGTAGGAGGGGAAGAGATAAGTGAGGAGGCAGAAGAAGGAGCAAGCTCTTCAGATGAATGTTAGGCCTCCTATCAGAAACACTCATGAAAAATGCTGGATGCTTGGTACAATCACACTTAACTCTTATCATCATACATATGTGAATAGCTCTGGGAGTTAAGACTCTGCGGCCAAGGTCAGAAGGTCACTGGTTCAAATCCCATGGTAGGCCAAGTGATTTCACCACAGAGCCCTTGAGCAAGGCCCTTACCTCCAATTGGCTGATCCTGCTTTCTCAATGACATGTTTCTTTGGATAGAAAGCATCTACTAAATAAATGTAACTATTCCATTTGGGGATATCAACTGCTAAACAAACAGAAACCTAAAACAAGAGGGTCAATATCATACTTTTTGACATGAATAATGCAGCCTCGTGAGTGCAAATGGACAAAAATCTGTAAATGTATTCAGTGTACATAAGCTGCTCTAGATAGCGTTACACAGCGATAAGTGTTTGCAGTCTGAGATGCCTCCCGCATGTATTTCTCACACTCCGCTTGGATGTGGACCAGAGTGACTCACCGAGAGCTTGACGACCTGCTCGCGACTCGGGTCCGGGGAGTCCTGCGTGAGAGGAGAGGTGCTAAGTGAGCAGCGTTAGCCAACACGAGGGCGGCACACGCCAAACGTGGCGGATGGGGGGGGGGTGGGGGCTCACCAGCAGTGGCGGCGATTTCACCGCCTGCTGGCTGTCCGACCGGTGGAGGCTCCCGTTGTGTCGCTTCTTCAGCATCTAGGAGACACGAGGACACCATTTCACACACGGTCAAAGAGCTGCACAAACATCGTGTGCGAGACAAAACCATCACACGTTCTGGTCATTCAGCAGAAAATCATTATGCACTGAATCCGTGCAGTCCAGTCACACCGTATAACAAAGAACTAACCATACCACAAAAATGCAAATTGACTCCCAAATACCTGCATCTCTATCATGTTTCTTGATTTGCTCTTATGTGACGTAAAATTTTAGGTAAAATATTAGTTTTATAAAGCAATTCCTTATACATATGAATAATGTTTATCTAGAGTGGTGTTATTTTCTGTCATTTGTCACTGCCTGCTGTACTTATCTGGTGTGCCTTCTATTCATCTGGTAGTATGAACTACATGAAGCACACAAGTAAGAAACACACGAGTGTAAAAGAACCATTGGACCACTGCTTTCCTGCTGCTGGGTCACATGACATTTACAGCCAACCAGACGTCAGTCAAAAGCAGCTCTGACTCCACTTACCTTTTTGATACTGCCCCCAGATTTCTTTACCATCAGCTCATCAACCATGGACTGCAGACAGATGCTCATCATGATAGCCTGAGTGACACAAGCGGCAGCAGATCTTACAAGATAAACTTAACAGGCCCCCCCTCTACCCTCATTTTTTTCCCCCAAGGAGACATGGGGGTGGAAGTTTTACAGCTATTGCAACATCAGTATTGGACCAATCGGAAAGAACAATAGTTCCATGATAACTATACAGATATATAAACGTGTTTGTAACAGCTGAGGCTCCACCCACCTGTGGGCTGGAGATGGTGACCCACTGCAGACGGTCTTTGCTCATCAGGTACTCAAAGGCCAGCTCCAGTTTGATCTCACACTTCCCTGGTGCACAGCTACCGCCGGTACCGTTGGCCATCGGGACCTGCTGTAGGGTGGGAAACCAATAAAGGAGGTAAAGCACTTTGGCTACTTAAAAGCAAATTACGGCAGTGCGTGCATGCGCCTGTCTGTCTGTACGGTCTGTCTGTCTGTACGGTCTGTCTGTCTGTACGGTCTGTCTGTCTGTACGGTCTGTCTCTCTGTACGGTCTGTCTCTCTGTACGGTCTGTCTCTCTGTACGGTCTGTCTCTCTGTACGGTCTGACTTCAGTGTCTCTGAATACCGGCATACTAGTTAGCTCCATATCACTGAAAAACCTCAATTTAGGGTCCCCGGATTTGTGACAGTCACGCTAAAACAAATTTAATAAGGCCTTTCCACAGAGCCACAATATCTTGGTCCGTAAAAGTAGAGAGCCAAGTCAAACATCAAATTACAGTCGCCATTTTCCATACACTTTGATAGCGTGGTCTTCCAAGCAGCCTGTCATTACAAACTTACTTTATTATTTGAGTTTTAAAAGAAAAGGAAAAAAAAACGACAAGGTGCAGCTTCCTGGACACGGATAGAGAGTCGAGAAAAGGAAATTCCAGTCAAAGGCACTCATTAAAAATAAAAGATGACATATTTGTGGATTGAAGGGAATTACAAAGCAAGCATAGAAATTGCTGCTGTTGGGCTTAGACCTGACACGGGATTAGGGTGACAGAGAAAGTCATTAGCAAACGCTGGCTGTGATGTCTTATCGGCGCCAGACATCATCATACAGGCCACTTATAGCAGCCCCTTATCACTGCACATCAGAAGTTGTTAAAAAAACCAAACTCAACAGTTTAAAGCCAACCCTTCAGCCACAAGTCCACTGGGGCGCAGAGAGACCAAATATAAACGGAGAAAATCTAAATATTTCAAATGTTACATGTGTTTCGCTTGGATAGGAATGTCACCAAGTGCATCACCGACACTGCAAATCTGGTTCCTGATGCATTCAGCAGCGCAAAAACATACCAGCAAGAAATCAGAGATGTACCAGCAGCAAAATTCTACATATTGGGGAAAACCATAAAGCTGTCGTAGTGCATTAGGTATTAGGGGCTGAAGCGAGGCGAGGCGAGGCGGGGCTTACAGAGGAAGTGACACGCCAGCACCGCATGCGTGTGACCTTGAAGCTGCCCTCCTTGACCTGCTCGTTGGGCAGCTTGACGTGAAAGTTGAGCTCGTTGTTTCCGGCGCTGACGATCACATGACAGCCCTTCTCGGGGAAGTCCGTGATGCAGGGGTCAAATTTGATGTAGCCGAAGTACTTTAGTGTCTGGGCGAGGCGGATAAACTGAACGAAAAGAAGAAAGCGAGACACGTTTGTGCTCAAGCCGTTTTAGACTCACATCTGTATTTAAATAATTAAGTAGACAAAACAGAAGTGGTTAGTGGTGAGCTGTACAAACTCACAGAAAGGGACATGATCACCCTACATCAAAGCCCAACCTGAATGGCAGCAAATCCCACCAGCAATGTTCTAACATCTAATGGAAAGCCATCCCAGAAGAGTGGAAGCTATTATAGTGACAAAGAGCAGACCAACTTCATATCAATTCCCTTGATTTCAGAATGAGATACCAGACATCAAATGGTTTTACTTTCTAGAGCTTTAGAGCCAGCTGGTGAGATCTTACCCTGAGTCAGCAAAGACAGCCCAGGTGGGTCCGATACGCAGGACTGCCTATCTATCCACCTGGGCTGAGACACAGAGAAGGGAGGCTGCATCTGCTGAGATGTTTGCGAGGTGGATGTTTGCACAAATTGTGTTCCAAGCTCTTAAGATTCTATGGTAAATATTTCAGAGGCTAATCTGTATTTTTAAGCACTCTGCAGTCACTTTTCCTTACAGAAAGCCACAGTAGTGACACAGGGGGAAAAAAAACACAAGGAAAACTCATCTAAGTGTCTGAATACTTACTTCTTTCTTTGAGCCTTTTTCCTGGAGAGATTTGAGCTGCCGGTGATGGTCTTTATTCACTAAAATCCAGCCTCGTTCGATATCGGACACCGTCTGAAGGAAAAGCCGACATCGACAGATATTCTGCAGCCGTTAAATACGTTAAATAACAAACGCAGCATCCCCCCCCCTCTGCAATAAATGACAAACATTTTTTTAGAAACTCTGCCAAATCCCCCAGCAAGGACAGGCTGATCTGAAGATTAACAAAAAAATAAGTAAATAAAAAACATACCTCCTGCATGGCATTAATGATAACATGGTTATTATGGAAGTCTTTTTTGTAACGGAAAGAATATATAATAGTAATACAAACATGAACAGAGAGTATACCTAATATTAGCAAGACAAATTATGATAGTACTGAAATTGTTTCCTATTAAATATTTGCAAAATAATTAAATGTCAAGCTGCAACTGATTTACCCAGAACTACACGAGTGAACTCATCAAACCAAGGGAATAATGCAAATGTTTATCAGTAATTGCTACAACACTTATTTCTTGAATGCATATCAGATTTCTGCCCAACTGCTTGGGTGCACAGACATTCCCAAACTGCACTCGCTTCCGCATTTCAGCGTTCCTGCTGACATAAACAGGCAACAAGAAACAAACAAAAACATGCAAATATGTGGCATCCTGCAGACTTTAAGCTGCCCTCTGTCTCAAACACACACTTTTAATCGGACCATTGAAGGGGGGCGGGGAGACATGCCACACCTCCTCACATCACTTCCTGTTTTGTTCAATATCTGCAGAGTTTCTGACAAACATGGGCGTTCCCAGCTCATCAGGCCTTTAGCCATATGCTCTCCTGACCTTGCAGCTAGGGTACAGGAAAGTGGGCTCAGCGCTACGACACTCACTGGCTGGGAGGCTTGCGGTTCAACTACCCACAATTCCATTCAGACCTCGTAATAAACATACGTTCCCTAAAGCGGTTCTGGTTACGGCTGTGAGTTTAGACCGTTGATGAGTTTTCAGGGTTTTGTGGGTGGGGGGGCTTTTTGGGTGTCTGATGTGAAAACCTGGCATTATCTGAGATGGTGATCAAGCCTCCGACAAAAGAATTAACCAAGGAATGAATGGGGGAGGAAGACCAGAGCAGACATGGCCCGTTAGGAGCCAGAACACAGGACACCCTGCCCCACAGGCCGGAGGAGAACTTGGCAGTACTGCAGCAGTGTACACAAACTCCAGCACTTAAGGTCAGACTGGATGTTAATTAAATTCCCCCATTTAAATCGGGGGGGGGCTCACACTAAACCAGCTCACACTTTAATTTGACTTTATAAAGACAACTCTCAGTGGGCTAGTTACATCGCAATCGATAGTGGCTGGAGCGAGCGGTTTTTAAATGACATTTTACATAAGCGCTACAACCCTCCGCTCCAGCGAACATTCCTTAAACACGTTCAAAACTGGAACAATTCCTGCCGATTATTTCCTTGAAAATCATTAATGTATAAAATACATATCCTAGCCCATGTATTGTCCCACACTGTGCTTTGAAATCTGAATATCATTAATTTGTAAGCAAAACTGCGACATATTTACATTAAGCCTGGAGAATTTGGGCTACATTAAAAAGCGCCATGGAAAGCCTTCATTCGTTTGGCCACAGAAAGCAGAAATGCAAAGGTGCATGTTACAATGTGGCCGTATTTGACCTCGGCACACCCAAGGAAACTCGGAAATGAGGAATGACTGACTCCGTGTGGCTCGGGGTCCATTACAGCTATAACAGGCGTGACAACTACCAACTACATTATAGACAAACCGGGTTGCACATGGTGGGGGGGAAGGGGGGGACATGGCCCGCCCAGTTATATATGGACTTTTGAGGGGGGGAATATTTTTTGATAATATTTATTGTCACGTGACATAGAGCTGAACATATACGTATGAGTGCCGATATGGATAATGTTTTCTCATTTACTAGTTTTTAAAGGACATTTTAAAAGTAGGGCTGCATTTCTGTTACTGCAACAAAGATGAGGACATCAATCGAAGTTTAACCTAAAGTAAAATCATCTGCTACAATAAAGTGATAAATATATTAACATGTCTTCAGTGTGAATCAAAATGTTCAGTGTATTGAACCATTAGCCCAAATCATGCCGGATGACCCCGCCCCCCCACTTCAAAAATCTCTCCAGTGCCCCTGGACAAATGCCGACACTAACACCTGATTTACCCCCTTCCAAAAGCTGAAAATCTCCCTGCTGATGCCGGCATTTACAGTTTAATAACTGCTGACAGAAAGCTGTGATCATCCACCATGACCTCTGACCTCAGATTTCGGAGCAGACTCGACCAGCTCCAAGCTACTTAACTTTCAAACACTGAAGCTTCATCAAAGTTACAAAGAACGACGAGACAAACCATAAACAACCTTTGGCACCGTCAGCCTGGTAACAGACCGAAAGGCATTAAAACATTAAGCGCTACGCTCCCGTGGGGGAGGGATTCGGGGGGGCCTCGCTACGCGCGGGGGGGGGGGGGGGCCTGATCCCCAGCTTCCCTGTACTCTCAGCCCAAGGTCTTACCTGAGCATATAGCAAATTGAGGCCGACTCTGTTGTCCATCACATCACTGTCATAGGCTGAATCCCAGTAACTGAAAA